GGGCTTTGGGGGGATTTGAGGAGGATTTTTGGAAGGATTTTAAGGAATTTTTTTGAGGATTTTAGGGAACCTCTGGATGATTTTATGGATTTTTTTGGGATTATTTTAGGGATCTTTGGGTGATTTTAGGTATTTGGGGAGGATTTTAGGGATTTTTTGGGATGATTTTAAGGATTTTCTAAAATTATTTTAAGGTTTTTGGAAGGATTTTAGGGATCTTTGGATGACTGTAGTGATTTTTGGAGGATTTTAGGGTCTTTTGGATGATTTTAGGCACCTTTGGTGGATTTTAGGGGATTTTTCGGGATGATTTTAAGGATTTAACAAAAATATTTTAAGTATTTTGGGAAGCTTTTAGGGAACCTCTTGATGATTTGAGGAGGATTTTAGGGATTTTTTTGTAGGATTTTAGGGATCTTTGGAGGATTGTAGGGATTTTTGGAGAATTTTAGGATCCTTTGGATAAATTTAGGGACCTCTAGATAATTTTAGGAACTTTTGGATGATTTTAGGGATATTCAATGCTGCCAGACCTCACAATAATTATTATTTTTCATCCCTGGGCTTTCAGCCCTTTCAGCAAATCCCAAAAATCCAACATTTCAATAAAATTCCCTCTCTCCAGCCACATTTTAAGAAAGATTCCCACTTCTTTTTGGCTCTGCAGGAAGAGCAGGGGTGTGGGATTGTTCTGCCTTCCCACCAGGGCGAAAATCCCTGATTTTCCACCAGCTCCAGGATCCCTCAGAGTGCTAAAATCCAGGAATATTCCAACATTCCAAGCTCCCTACAAACCACCCAAGATGTGATCCCAGACAACACCAACCACAACACATCCCCGGGATTCCAAAAAATTGGGAAATAAGTGATTTATCCTTTTATTTTCCAATGGGAATTCCCTCTCAAACAACTGCATCCATGGCTGGGAATTTCCAGGAATCAGCAGAAAACTGGGAAATACCTCTTTTAACCATTTTGGCCCTCAGGAAGTTTCCCTATTATAATTCACCCCGAGCACCTCAAAATCCAGGATTTTTTCACCCATTTTGCTCCTAAATGCCCTAAAATAAAAAATCCTAATCCAAGAATCCCTCAGGAAAAAAAAAAAAATCCTTCCTTAGGAGAGGATAAAGTCCAGCACTTACTTGTGGTGCCCAGATTTCTTTGTCCTTTAAACTCCAAGAAAACCCAGGAGAAGAGGCCAAATCCTGATCCCAAAAGGAGAAAAAGGAGGGAAAACGAGGTGGGAATGGGAGCTGCCGATGGAATTTGGGATTTCTTCCTGCTCTGTTATCTCCAGGGAACGCTGGTGGAAATCTTTGCCTGGTACAGTCGGAGCCTCTGCTTCACAGGCCAGGAATTTTTACTTTGAATAATTTTTAACTTCGGCTCCCGGCGAGGAAAATGCTCCAAGGAAAATGCTCTGCTTGGTTGGGTTTGTTATTTATTTCATGGGAGAGGATTTTTTATTGAGAGGGGAAATGGGGGAAATTCTCCTTTTTTCCCATCGTTTCCCAGCTCGCAGGGGCTCAAGGGATGAGGGGAAAGGATTGGAACAATTTTCCTGGAAAAACGAGGAGATAACAGAGCGGGGAGGGGGGATCTTCAGGAACTTTAATCCTCTGAGCTCCGTTTGTTTTCTGCTTTGTTTTAAAATAGAAATCATTTTCCCGGCCTGTGGCTGAAGCAGCGCAATCCCCTCAGAAGGGCTGAAACAAAACTAATTCACAATTGTGATCATCAAAATTGGTAAAAACAACAATTTGTTGTTATTTTTATCATTTTTGTCTCTTAGACAGTTGAAATTTAGGCACATTCCCCTCATAAACGGGGAGAACAAAACCTTAAAACACAAAGGAAATTTTAAAACTCCAGGCCAATAAAAAAGGCCCAAATCACCTCAGAAGTGCTGAAACAAAACTAATTAACAAATGTGATCATTGAAATTGGTAAAAACAACAATTTACTGTTATTTTCACCTCTTTGAGGGTTGAAATTCAGACATATTCCCCTCACAAACTGGGAGGATTCACCTTAAAACAAAAAGGAAATGCTAAAAACTCAAGGCCAAGAAAAAGGGCCCAAGTCCCCTCAGAGGTGCCGAAGTGAAACTAATTAACAATTCTGATCACTGAAATTGGTAAAAGTAACAATTTATTGCTATTTCCACTAATTTTACCTCTTTGAGGGTTGAAATTCAGGCACCTTCTCCACATAAACTGGGAGAATTCACCTTAAAGCACAAAGGAAAAAGGCCAAATCCCCTCAGAAGGGCCGGAACGAAACTAATTAAACAATTATGATCACTTCAATTGGTAAAAACACCAATTTATTGTTATTTTTATTCTTTTTATCTCTTTGAGGGTTGAAATTAAGGCACATTCCTCTCACAGACTGGCAGAATTCACCTTAAAACAAAGAAAATTTTTAAAAATCCAGGCCAAGAAAAAAGGCCCAAATCCCCTCAGTTCCCTGACAAAGGCAAAAAAAGAGGGAAAATTTGGATCAGACCCCAAAATGCAGTCAGACACCCCAAAAAACCAACTTTTAAAGCAACAGAGGTGGAACTAACTCAGTGTAAAGTGAATTTTTCCAGTGTTTTCCCACCTGGGAACAGGAAATTGAGGAAGGAGCTGGAACAAAGCACAGCAGGAAAATGGAGCTGGGTGATTTTTTAGGGATTTTCCAGGATTCTGTGAGGAATCCCACGGCTCATTCTGTGAAAAAATTGGATTTCTAAGGGGTATTTTCCTCCCGGGGTGAGGAACCCTCAGCAAATCCCCCCAAAAATCCAAATATCCCATCCAAAGCTTGAAGAACCTCTGCCCCATCCCCGTTTTTTACCCTCACACTCCTTCCTGGATGAGAAATTGATTTATTTTGTTTATTCCCACCCCAAATCCCAGTAGAAAAACTCGTTTTTTTTTTTGCTGGCAGTGCCAGCTGAGCCCCACCACAAATATCCCGATGTTTTTATGGTGTTTGTCCTTGTTAAAGTCAAATTTAGCCCTTTTTTTTTCCCTCTCAGCACCTGCCCTTTTCCACCCTGGGAGCTGCCGAGCACCTGCACAATTAAAGCTTCATTAAAACCGACTTTTTTAATTGCCTCTGGGTCGTTGGAGCAGGAAAAACAGCTGGAAAAAAGCTTTGGACATGGTGAGGAAGCAGCAAAAATTCCATGTTTTCTTGTCAGTTTTACTGTTTTATTTTTATTTTATATACTTGCCGTGGTGAATGTGGAATTCACCAAGTTGGAAAAGTCCATCCTCAATAAATGAACTGGAACTAGGGAATAAATAAGGATATTCCAGAGAAAAAGGGAATAATAATAATAATAAATACAGTAATAATAATAATAATTGTCATCCTCAGGATATTCCAGAGCAAAAGGGACTAATAATAAGGAATAATAGGAAATAAAATAAAAATTAAAACAACAACAACAACAACAACAACAACAATAATAATAATAATAATAATAATAATAATAATAATCCAGATAAATAAGGAAGTAGAAGAATTATAAATAAGGAATAGTAATAAATAAAATAAATAATAATAATAATCAGGATATTCCAGAGATTAAAAAAGGAAATATCCCCTCAAAATACAAATTATCACCGCTCTTGACATTTGCTCAGAGTTTTGTAATAAATTAAAGATATTTTAAAATGTTTTTTTAAGCCTTGGGGAAGCTTTTTTTGATCCCAGGGATTCTTTTGGAGCTGGATTTGCCCTGGCCAAGCAAACAGCCCCAGCAGAGCGCAGCTTTTCATCCGGCTCCATAAAACGGAATATTTTTATTGGATTTCTGGCCACGCCCGGGAACGTTTGGTGCTTATCAGGCCCAGATAAGATAGCAGAGCTCGGGCTCGGCTCGTTAAAGCTGGCCTGGCAGCGGCAATTAACGAACTGGTTTTTTCCAGGGATGAGCAGCTCCAGAGGATTCCCGGGAAAAGCGCGGGAAAAGCTCCAGTCCCGGGGCCAAAATCCTGGATTGCTGATCCAGAGGGGAAATCCTGGATTTCTGACCCAGAGGTGAAATCCTGGATTTCTGACCCAGAGGTGAAATCCTGGATTGCTGACCCAGAGGTGAAATCCTGGGATTTCTGTTCCAGAGGTGAAATCCTGGATTGCTGACCCAGAGGTGAAATCCTGGATTTCCGGTCCCGAGGTGAAAACCCGGGATTGCTGATCCAGAGGGGAAATCCTGGATTTCTGACCCAGAGGTGAAATCCTGGGATTTCTGACCCAGAGGTGAAATCCTGGATTTCTGACCCAGAGGCAATGAACGACCTGTTTTACTCCAGGGATTCAGTGGGATGCCTCAGGACTCCTGCTCCCGGGAATTCTCGGGAATGGAGCTCCCAGCTCAGCTCTCGGGGCTCCCTTTGCCTTCTGCTCCCCCCAGCGGCCGCAGCTCCAGGGATGAATGAAGAGAAATCCATGAAATGACAAGAAATCAGTGAAATGGAATTAAAAAAACTCCGTGGAATTAAAGGAAAGCCATGGAATTGAAGGAAATCTGTGGAATTCAAAGAAATGTAAAGGAAATCCATGGAATTGAAGAGGAAATCCATGGAATTGAAAAGAAATTTAAAGGAAATCCATGGAATTGAAAAGGAAATTAAAGGAAATCCAAAGGAAATCCATGAAATTGAAAAGGAAATCCATGGAACTAAAAATAAATCCATGGACTTGAAAAGAAATTTAAAGGAAATCCATGAAATTCAAAGGAAATCCAAAGGAAATCCATGGAATTCAAAGGAAATCCAAAGGAAATCCATGGAATTCAAAGGAAATCCAAAGGAAATCCATGGAATTCAAAGGAAATCCAAAGGAAATCCATGGAATTCAAAGGAAATCCAAAGGAAATCCATGGAATTCAAAGGAAATCCAAAGGAAATCCATGGAATTCAAAGGAAATCCAAAGGAAATCCATGGAATTCACAGGAAATCCATGGAATCCAAAGCAATCAGCCCAAACTCAGCAGTGGCAATGACGTCACTGGCACAGGGAATTGGGAATTCCCCAATCCCAACCCCAGAACCCCAAATCCCATCCCAGTGGGGAACAGGGAGGGGAAAAGGGAATTAAAGCCCGGCTTTACCTGCTCGATGTAAACATCTCAATTAAGTCCACGCTAATTGCTCGCTCCTAATTAACGCTCTCCCAATTCCAGAGCCTCTGGAATTGCAGCTCCTGGAATTTTGGGATTTTCCACAGGGAAATTTCCCTGCTCAGCTCTCCCTGAGGGCCAGCACAGGTTTGGAATTTGATTTTTCCCAATATTTTTTTCCCTGGTTTATTTTCTAATCAACCCCCCCAAAAAAAAAGCTGGAAAGCCAAAAAAGAAAAGCTGAAATCTCTTTATTTTGGCACTGTTTACAAAGATACAAACCAGGAAACACCGGGGGTTAAAATCCAGTTTTAAAGCACATTTTATTCTTTTCAACCCAAAGCAGCACTTGGGAAAGGGAATTTGGTGGTGGAAGGGAAGGGGAAACCCAGAAAAGTCAAAATTAAACCCACAAAACCAAAGCTCAACCCCAAACCCAAAACTGAGCCCATAAAACCAAACTAAACCCACAAAATTCAACCACAAAGCCCCAAATTAAACCCAACCCCAAATCTAAACCCACCAAAATCAAGCACAGACCCAAACCTACAAAATCCAAACCCAAACCCACAAAACCCAACCTTAACCCCAAACCCAAAACCCCCAAACCCAACCCCACAAAATTCAACCCCCAACCAAACCTAAACCCTTAAAACCAAACCCCAAACCCCAACCTTAACCCTAAACCCAAACTAAACCCATAAAACCAAACCTAAACCCACAAAATCCAACCCTAAAACCCAAACCTAAACCCCAAACCCAAAACTAAACCCATAAAACCCAACCTTAACCCAAAACCCCCAAAGCTCAGCCCCACAAAGTTAAACCCCCAACCAAACCTAAACCCCTAAAACCAAACCCTAAAACCCAAACCCAAACTAAACCCATAAAACCCAACCTTAACCCAAAACCCCCAAAGCTCAGCCCCACAAAGTTAAACCCCCAACCAAACCTAAACCCCTAAAACCAAACCCTAAAACCCAAACCCAAACTAAACCCATAAACCCAACCCCAAAACCCAACCCTAAACCCCAAACCCATAAACCCAAGCCTAAACCCACAAACCCCAACCCCAAACCCCACAAACTCAACCAGGAGTTGCCAGCAGTGACAAAGCTGAAGCACACCCCAAAAAGGAGTCCAAAGTTGGGGATTTTAACATTTTCTGGGTAAAAATCTTGGGGTTTTCATTTTCTGGGTAAAAATCACTGAGAAAAACTCGATTTGAATCACACACAGAACTAAATCTTTACATTTTTAATTACACAAACCCCATTTTTAATGTCACAAATCCCATTTTCAGACAACAATTAAAGCAAATCCCCCACGAGAAGAGACAGAAAAAGGAGCTGATCCTTCAATAAATTAAAATTGTAGCAATTAAGCAGGACAGAATTAACACACAGGAATTCCCAGCTCCAGAGGTGCAATTCCTTGGAATTATTTGCATAGTTCCTCCTTTTTTTCCCCTTTGGAATTCAGAAAATCCTGAGAAATTCTGAATTCCAGGATAAAACCTTCCTACTTGGGAAGGAAAAAAAATCTCAGCAGCACAAAAAAAAAAAGGAAATTATCAAAATTCCACGTTGGAATCTCCCAAAATCTCCAAAAAATTGGGAATTTCAACTGGAATTCCTTGGCCAGGAGGAAAAGAATTTTATTTATCATAATAAAGAGGAAAATTTGGAATATTTTGGCACAGGAGCCTCTCCAGGATTTGGGTTTTATCCCTGAAAATTCCACCAAAATCTCGTTGGTTTTCAAGGAGATAAAAGCAAATCCAGCTGCCCCAGAATTCCCAGAAAAAATGGGATTATTCCATGGGAAAAATGGATTTCTTCCCATCCCAAGCTCTCCTCTTGGGAGGTTTGACCCCAGGGAAAAGGAAATTCTCCAGGTGGGAGCAGATCCAAGAGTTTGGTTCTCATTTTCCCATCAAAAATTTGGGAAAAAAGGAGAGAACCAAAGTTCCCATTCCCACCCCTGGCAGGGAATGCTGAGAGCTGGAATTCCAGGGGGGAGAGAAATTCCAGGGATTTGGGGGCCAGGAGGAAAATCGGGAATTCCAGGGGTGAAATTGCAAAATTCCAGGGATTTGGGATGGATTTGGGATGGATTTGGGATGGATTTGGGATGGATTCCAGATCCAGGATTCAAAGAATTGGAATTCCGGGGGGTGAGAGAAATTCCAGGGATTTGGGATGGGTTTGGGATCCAGGAGGAAAATCTGGAATTCCAGGGGCTGAAATTGTAAAATTCCAGGGTTTTGGGATGGATTTGGGATGGATTTAGGATGGATTCCAGATCCAGAAGGAAAAGCTGGAATTCCAGGGCGGACAGTGACTTTTCCATGGATTTAGGATGGATTTAGGACTTTTCCATGGATTTAGGAAGGATTTAGGACTTTTCCATGGATTTAGGACTTTTCCATGGATCTAGGACCCTCAGGAAAAGCTGCAGGAGGGAGACCCAGCCAGGAAAAAAAAAAAAAAAATCCTTTTCCACTTCCCAAAAGTCCTCAGGCAGGCCCAAGATCCGTGGGAGAAGTTGAGGCTGGTGCTTGGAATTTGGGAATGCCTCTGGAGCTCAAATTCCAGGGATTTCCCACCCCAAAAATCCCATTTTTCCACTGGCAGGAGCTGTCCCAGTCCCTGTGGCTCATCCCAAAAATCGGAGTGCCTGAGTGCCCCAAAAGCCGGAATTCCCAATCCCAGCAGGAATGGGTTGTCCCTTGGAGAGCATTTCATCCAAGGACTGAGCTGGAAAAATTCCCAAAAAACCCCAAGATTTGGGATCGGGCCTGGACTGAGCACCAGGAGAGCGGGAAAACGCTCCCAGGGGGATCTGGGATTTGCTTCCAAAGGATTCTGCATCTTCATTATTGTCATCATTAATTAGCGTGGTTAGTTAGCAGAATTAATTAGCATAATTAATTGCTGCCCCAGGCTAAAGCAGCAGCACTTGAGAGGATCCCTTTGCCCCAGTCCAGAATGGAGCCACACCCCAAATCCCAGCTCCGGTTTTGGGGTCACATCCCGAGGAAAGTCCCCAAATTCCCAAAGGATTCTCTCCAAACAGGGAAAATCCCACAAATTCCTTAAGGATTCTCTCCAAACAGGGAAAATCCCACAAATTCCTTAAGGATTCTCTCAAGTCCCCAAAATCCCTCAGGAATTCTCCCCTAAACAGGAAAAATCCCACAAACTCCTTAAGGATTCTCTCCAAACAGGGAAAATCCCACAAATTCCTTAAGGATTCTCTCCAAACAGGAAAAATCTCACAAATTCCCAAAGAATTCTCTCCAAACAGGGAAAATCCCCAGAATTCCTTAAGGATTCTCTTCACAAGTCCCCAGATCCCTCAGGAATTTTCTCCCCAAACAGGAAGAATCTCCCAAATTCCTCAGGGATTCTCCCCCAAATCCCTCAGGGATTCTGCCCCAGCACCACAAAGCCCCAAATCCCTGAGGAATTCCCCCGTCCTCGGGCAGGACCCCCCGAGCAGCACCAGGACCCCCAAAGCCCCAAAGCCCCCAAAGCCCCCGAGCCGGGGCCGCGTTTGGCACAAACCCTGTGGGATTGCTGCGGGATCAGCAGCGCCCGGCACGTCCTGGGCTCGGGAACAGGGGCAGGGACACTGTGGGGTCGGGGTTGGGGTCACACGGTGCTGACCCGGGCTGGGTTTGGGGTCAGGTTTGGGGTCAGGTTTGGGGTCAGGTTTGGGGTCACACGGTGCTGACCCGGCTCGCTGGGTTTGGGGTCAGGTTTGGCGGACCCGGGCTGTGTTTGGGGTCAGGTTTGGGGTCAGGTTTGGGGTCAGGTTTGGGGTCACACGTTGCTGACCCGGCTGTCGGCGGGGCCGGGCGGGCCCAGGGAGCGCTCGCGGCGGACGTAGCGCGGCTTCCGCACTGCCGGGACAAAACACCCCAAAAACCCCCTGGGAATGGGGTCCCAGAGGGAAATCCCAAAGGGAGAGGGAGGTGGGGTGTGGGGATTGAGGTGCAGTGGGGTTTGGGGTTGGGGTTTGGGGTTGGGTTTCGTGGGGCTGGGGTTGAATTTTGTGATTTTTAACCCCAAACCCAGTATTAAGCCCACAAAACCCAAATCTAAAACCCACAAAACCCAAACACAAAGCCCAAACCTAAATCCCCAAAACCCAAGCCCCCAAACTAAACCCACAAAACTGAACCCCAACTCCAAAATTACCTCCCAAAACCCAATCCCAAACCCACAAAACTCAACCCCAAACTCAAAATTAAACCCCCAAACCCAAACCAACCCCACAAAACCCAATCCCAACCCCACAAAACCCAACCAAAACCCCAAAAATGGATTTCCCACCAGAAATCCCATCCATATTTTGCCCTGCTTGAATTAAAGCAACAAATCCTATTAAAAACCCAAATCCCACTGGATTTCTGTTCCTCATCCTGGGAATTTTGGGGATTTTCTGTTTATTTTTAGCACATTCCAGAGGAAATTTCCTCACCTGAAGAAGCTGGAGGAGGGATCATGGATGCCTGTGGAACAGAAGGATAATGTCAAAAAAAGCAATTTTTAACTGTTTTTCCTTAAAAAAATCCAGGATTTTTTTTGTTTCCTATAATTTTCACTGTGTACAGATTTTTTCCTTGGAAAAAACCCTCAACTTTTCCATTTCCGTTCCAGTTTGGATCCAAAGAACCCCAAAATATCTTTAAGTTTATTTCAGTCTCATTCATCAATTAAGGAGTTGCTTAATGAAGTCCCAATTTTGTTAATTAAAATGGAAATTCCTGTTTATTTAATGTTCCTATAAAAGCAGAATTTACTCACTGTTTCACTGGGCTGGAGAACAGATGCTAAAAGAGACAAAAAAAAAGATTAATTGAGATGATTTTAATTAATTTGAAGGCTGGAATTGTTCATTTTCTAAAATCACAGGCATGGAGGGAATAATTTTCTTGTTAAAATAAGAATTTTGTCCAAAAATCCAACCAAAATCCCACTTGGAGAATTTATTGGGTGTAGGACTCTCAAGACTGGAGGATTTATTGGAACAAAATGGGAATTTTCTCCCAAAAATGGGAATTTATGAGCTTAAAATGGGGATTTATGAGCTCAAAATGGGAATTTATTGGCACAAAATGGGAATTTTCTCCACAGAATGGGAATTTATGAGCTCAAAATGGGAATTTTCTCCCCAAAATGGGAATTTATGAGCTTAAAATGGGAATTTTCTCCACAAAATTGGAATTTATGAGCTCAAAATGGGAATTTTCTCCACAGAATGGGAATTTATGAGCTCAAAATGGGAATTTTCTCCACAGAATGGGAATTTATGAGCTCAAAATGGGAATTTTCTCCCAAAAATGGGAATTTATGAGCTCAAAATGGGAATTTTCTCCACAAAATGGGAATTTATTTGCACAAAATGGGAATTTTCTCCACAGAATGGGAATTTATTTGCACAAAATGGGATTTTTCTCCACAGAATGGGAATTTATTTGCACAAAATGGGAATTTTCTCCACAGAATGGGGAACTCAGCAGCCCAAAATGGGAATTTCCAAGGAAAAACCCCCATTTCAGCCAATTAACAGAGCAAAGCTCATTAACTAAAGCACAATTAAAGATTTTTTACCTTTGTTCCTCCTGTAGAAAACCTTTGGGAGTCTGTTGGCTCGTTTGAGGTAGAAAAAAGAAGCCACAGAAAGGATCAGGAATAAACTGAGGAAAAAGGTCCCCAAAATCAGGGAGGCGGCGACTTCGGGGCCCCCTGGGAACGAGGAAATGAGAGAAAAAGAGAAAAAATCTGGTTTGGAGCAAAAACCTCCTTCCCCAAAGGATGAAACCAAAACAAAGAGCAAATCCCTGAGGTTTGGGGGCTCTTGGGTCATTCCAGGTGCCTGAAACTGAGTTGGGATTAAATCAGTTTTAACATCTCTGAATCAATTAAATCAGTTAATGTCAGTTATTTAATTTATTTATTCAATAATTTATTAAATAAATTATTTAATTCAGTTATTTAATTTATTTATTTAATACTTTATTAAATAAATTATTTAATTCAGTTATTTAATTTATTTATGTAATAATTTAATGTCAGTTTTGACATTAAATCACTTTTGAAACTCATTTCAGCAAATTAAACCACTTTAAACTCATTAAATCCCTTTCTCAACTAATTAAATCCCTTTTTAAAACTCATTTTAACAAATGAAAACACTTTCATTGGTTAAACACTTTTTAAAGTCATTAAATCACTTTTCAAATTAATTTTAACAAATTCAAACACTTTTAACCCATAAAATCCCGTTTAAAACTCATTTTAACAAATTAAATCCCTTTTAACTCATTAAATCCCTTTTTAAACTCAATAAATCACTTTTAAAAATAATTTCAGCAAATTCAATCACTTTGAACTCATTCAATCACTTCCTAAACTAATTATAACTAATCCAATCACTTTTTAAACTCATTTTTTTAAATTCAATTGCTTTTAGATTCATTAAATCCTTTTTTAAACTCATAAAATCACTTTTAAACTCATTTTAACAAATTTAATCCCTTTTAAAACTACTTTTAACAAATTAAATCCCTTTCAACTCATTAAATCCCTTTTTAAACTCAATAAGTCACTTTTAAAAATAATTTCAGCGAATTCAATCACTTTGAACTCATTCAATCACTTTCTAAACTAATTTTAACAAATCCACTTTTTAAACTAATTTTTAAAAATTCATTTGTTTTTTCACTCATTAAATCCCTTTTTAAACTCATAAAATCACTTTTAAACTCATTTTAACAAATTTAATCCCTTGTAAAACTAATTTTAACAAATTAAATCCCTTTAAACTCATTAAATCACTTTTAAAAATAATTTCAGCAAATTCAATCACTTTGAACTCATTCAATCACTTTCTAAACTAATTATAACTAATCCACTTTTTAAACTAATTTTTAAAAATTCATTTGTTTTTTCACTCATTAAATCCCTTTTAAACTCAATAAATCACTTTTAAAAATAATTTCAGCAAATTCAATCACTTTGAACTCATTCAATCACTTTCTAAACTAATTTTAACAAATCCACTTTTTAAACTAATTTTTAAAAATTCATTTGTTTTTTCACTCATTAAATCCCTTTTTAAACTCATAAAATCACTTTTAAGCTCATTTTAACAAATTAAATCCCTAAACTAATTTTTAAAAATTCATTTGTTTTTTCACTCATTAAATCCCTTTTTAAACTCATAAAATCACTTTTAAGCTCATTTTAACAAATTAAATCCCTTTTAAAATGCATTAAAGCCCTTTTAAAACTCATTTTAACGAATTAAACCCCTTTTAAACTCATTAAATCCCTTTCTAAACTCATTTTAACAAATTCAACCCCTTTAAAACTTATTTTAACAAATTAAATCCCTTTTAACATTAATTAAATCCCTTTTTAAACTCATTTTAACAAATTAAAGGCCTTTTAAAACTCATTTTAACGAATTAAACCCCTTTTAAACTCATTAAATCCCTTTCTAAACTCATTTTACTAAATTAAATCCCTTTCCAAACCCATTTTAACCCTTTTACCTCACCAAACCCCCAATCCCCGAGCTCACCCAAGTTCTGGATGAGAGGAGTGCTCCCGTTCAGGTGGGAGCTCAGCCCTCTGCCCCCAGCTGGAAAAAACCAGAAAATTTCAATTTTGAATTAAAATCCATCCCCAGCCCAAATGTTACCATTTCCCCCTCCCTGCACACCAAATTCCCACATTCCCACCCCAAATCCCACCAGGAATTTGGGAATCTTTTTTATGTTCTGTGGAATAAAAATCTCCATTTTTGCTGCATTTTTGAGGAGTTTTTGCCGTGGGAATAAATGGCAATTAATAAATAAAATAAATTAATGAAATTCAAATGGATTGAAGGATGTGGGATAAAAATCTCCATTTTTGCTGCGTTTTGAGGAGTTTTTGCCGTGGGAATAAACGGCAATTAATAAATAAAATAAATTAATGAAATTCAAATGGATTGAAGGATGTGGGATAAAAATCTCCATTTTTGCTGCGTTTTGAGGAGTTTTTGCCGTGGGAATAAATGGCAATTAATAAATAAAAATAATTTTTAAATTAATGAAATTCAAATGAATTGAAGGATGTGGGATAAAAATCTCCATTTTTGCTGCGTTTTGAGGAGTTTTTGCAGTAATGGATGCCAGCAGACGAACACAAACTATTCCAATGAATTCTAATGAAGTGAATTAAATAGAATGAACAAAAATCGTTCAAACTCACAGCTCCTGCACTCGCTGAGGTTGTGCCCAGAGGGGCTGCCCAGGCTCTCATTCCTGCACCTGATGCAGCTGCTGCTCCCATCCTCGTTCCACCTCCTGTAGCATCCTGCCCAAAACAGGGAAAAGGGATAAAGCCAGCACAATTCCCAATTTTCCAACAATCCCCGGATTTTAGAGGGGAAAAACCAGCAAAAATTCCCTTTTTTTTGGGTTAAAAACAGCACCTGATTCCCTTTTCCCACGTTAAAAAAGGTTTTATTCTCAAATTTTATTCCCAATTTTTAGTCCCAGTTTTTACCCCAGGAAAAATAATTTTCCCAGGGGGAAAAGGAGAAGGAATTATAAAAAATAATATTAATTAATGAATTAATTAGCACTCCCCAGCTGCTGGATTTTGGTGTTCTAGTCCAGAAAATCTGGGAATTTCTGATCCCTGGAATTCTCCCAGTGTTTGTCCCAGAAAAATAAAATTTTCCAAGAGGAAAAAAGGAGAACAACTTAAAAGGGAATAAAAAAATCTGGGGATTTTTGATCCCTGGAATTCTCCAAGGCCACAATGATTATCCCAGAAAAATAAAATTTTCCAAGAGGAAAAAAGGAGAACAACTTAAAAGGGAATAAAAAAATCTGGGGATTTTTGATCCCTGGAATTCTCCAAGGCCACAATGATTATCCCAGAAAAATAACATTTTCTAGAGGGATAAAAGGAGGAGGAATGAGAAGGGAATAACATTTATTAATTAATTAATTTCCACTCCCCAGCTGCTGGATTTTGGTATTGAAGTCTAGAAAATCTGGGAATTTCTGATCCCTGGAATTCTCCCAGTGTTTATCCCAGAAAAATAAAACTTTCCAAAGGGAGAAAAAGGAGGAGGAATTTCAAAGGAAGAACAAAAATTCAGGAATTTTTTAGCCTTGGAATTCTCCAAGGCCACAGTGATTATCCCAGAAAAATAAAATTTTCTAGAGGGATAAAAGGAGGAGGAATTAGAAGGGAATAACATTTATTAATTAATTAATTTCCACTCCCCAGCTGCTGGATTTTGGTATTAAAGTCCAGAAAATCTGGGGATTTTTGATCCCTGGAATTCTCCAAAGCCCCAGTGATTAGCCCAGAAAAATAAAATTTTCTAGAGGGATAAAAGGAGGAGGAATGAGAAGGGAATAACATTTATTAATTAATTAATTTCCACTCCCCAGCTGCTGGATTTTGGTATTGAAGTCTAGAAAATCTGGGAATTTTTGATCCCTGGAATTCTCCAAAGCCCCAGTGATTAGCCCAGAAAAATAAAATTTTCTAGAGGGATAAAAGGAGGAGGAATGAGAAGGGAATAACATTTATTAATTAATTAATTTCCACTCCCCAGCTGCTGGATTTTGGTATTGAAGTCTAGAAAATCTGGGAATTTTTGATCCCTGGAATTCTCCAAAGCCCCAGTGATTAGCCCAGAAAAATAAAATTTTCCAAGGGGAAAAAAGGAGCAAAACTCACAGGGGAATTTAAAAAATCTGGGGATTTTTGATCCCTGGAGTTTTCCAAAGCCCCAATGCTTATCCCAAAAAATAAAATTTTCCAAGAGGAAAAAATGAGAAAAACTTACCGGGGAATTTAAAAAATCTGGGGATTTTTGATCCCTGGAATTCTCCAAGGCCCCAATGATTATCCCAGAAAAATAAAATTTTCCAAGAGGAAAAAATGAGAAAAACTTACCGGGGAATTTAAAAAATCTGGGGATTTTTGATCCCTGGAATTCTCCAAGGCCCCAATGATTATCCCAGAAAAATAAAATTTTCCAAGAGGAAAAAATGAGAAAAACTTACCGGGGAATTTAAAAAATCTGGGGATTTTTGATCCCTGGAATTCTCCAAGGCCCCAATGATTATCCCAGAAAAATAAAATTTTCCAAGAGGAAAAAAGGAGAAAAACTCACAGGGGAATTACAAAAATCTGGGATTTTGGTCCCTGGCATTCCCCAGGGCTGCCCATGGGATCAATGATCTTCAGGGCCTTTTCCAAGGCCCCGCTCCAGGGAGTGATCCCAGAGAATTCCCTACCTGGGCTGCACTGCTGGGGCACGGGGCAGGAGCTGTTGGAATCCAACGTTTCCACACAACATTCCGGGTCTGGCACCTGAGGAGAGACATTCCCAAGGAATTCCCACTTTGCCATCGAGGAAATGACAATAAATATAAAAAATCAATGCAAAATCCCCACAGAAATTAAGGATCATTCAGTTAAAACCCACTGGAATTGTTTTCCAGCAAGGAGAAAACTTCGTTTATTTTAAATTTTATTTTTATTTTATAAATCAATTTTATTTTTCTAAATCCATTTTATTTTTATTTCAGATATAAATTTTATTTTTAAAAATCTATTTTATTTTGCTTTTAGAAATCAATTTTATTTTGCTTTTAAAAATCAATTTTATTTTGCTTTTAAAAATCAATTTTATTTTGCTTTTAAAAATCAATTTTATTTTGCTTTTCTAAATAAAAATATAGAAAAGTTGGGATCAAAAATGAAATAAAATAATTTTAAAAAAAATGACATTAAACTCAATTCCTGGAGCACCCACCGAGTTTTCTGTGGATTTTCCAGCAACTTCTGCCACGAGCCTGGTCAGAAGCAGCACGAAGGGCACCTCCATTCCCAGGAAAAACACGGATCTGGAGAAAATTTGAGAATAAATTCAAATTATTTATTAATAGCACTGGAATTCTGCTTCCCTTTAAAGAAGTTAAAGGAGTTTAGGGGAAAAAAGGGGGTGGGAAGAGTAAGGAAACACAGATGAAAAAGGATTATTTATTATAAAACATAATGAAATTATTTCAATTTTTGGCACTACCTGCTTATTCAAAGAGCAAGAAAACAGAGATAAGGAAGGATTATTTATTAAAAAAGATACTAAAATTAAATTATTATGGAAGGATTATTTATTTAAAAAAGATACTAAAATTAAATTATTATGGAAGGATTATTTATTAAAAAAAGATACTAAAATTAAATTATTATGGAAGGATTATTTATTAAAAATATACTAAAATTAATTATTATGGAAGGATTATTTATTTAAAAAATGATACTAAAATTAAATTATTATTTAAAAAACCAGATTGTTCTTACCTAGAAGAACACCTTTGAGGAACAGGTCATAATAAAGGGAAAATTTGGGTGGAAAAAGCCACGCGGCAGTGCCGGATGCTCGTGGTGAAGGCCACAGCTCGCTCAGCTCAGTCCTGCTTGCATTTCCATGCCTGAAACAAATCAGGACACAGGAGATTGACCCCAGCCCCTGCATCAATAATTTTTATTTCCATCAGCCAATAATTTTTATTTCCATCAGCCAGAGAGAATTGGGAAACATTTGATGGATCTGGAGCTGTGGGGGTTTTTTATTGAACCACTTTGAAAGCAAAGCTGAGCTCAAAAAGCTGCTTTAAAGCTTCCAAACACTTTAAATATTTGGTATTTTAAACTTGATTTTCACTTAATTTTTAAAATTACTTTATTCCTACTTAATTCCCTCCAAACCATCCCAAAATTCACAAATTCCTCCACAAATTTCCTCAGGATCAAACACCCACAGCAAAATTAATTCCCTCAAAAAATCTGTTTCACGCTTGGCAGCGTTTTCCCTGTGGATCTGGGGGAAAAAGAATTAAATTTATATATATATAAAGCCTCTGCCTGAATTAGAAGGTATTTTTCCCTCAGGATTTTCCCGCCAACACAGGAAAATATGAGAATTCCTACAAGGATTTAACACCCTGGGAAGGAACAACAACTTTTAGCATTTTCTGATCAAACACAACATTCTGCTGCCTCCAAGGAATAGGTTTTACCTCATAAATTGAAATTTAGAGAGGAAAAGAAAAACCTTAAAACCCTCAGGGGATCCAGGATCCACCGACCCTGAGGAGAGGAGGAGGAGATACAAATTCCCTCCAAACCATCCCAAAATTCACAAATTCCTCACAAATTTCCTCAGGACCAAACACCCACAGAAAAATTAATTCCCCCAAAAATCTGTTCCACGTTTGGCAGTGTTTTCCCTGTGGATTTTTGGGGAAAAAAATGAAATTTAAAGCCACGCCAAGCTGCGGCCTGAATTAGAAGATATTTTTCCCTCAGGATTTTCCCGCCAACACAGGAAAATATTGGAATTCCAACAAGGATTTCACACCCCGGGAAGGAACAACATGTTCTGGTCAAACACAACATTCTGCTGCCTCCATGGAGGAGGTTTTACCTCATAAATTGAAATTTAGAGAGGAAAAAAAACCCAAAACCTTCAGGAGATTGAGGATCCACCGACCCTGAGGGGAAGGGAAGCGTGAGGGGAGCTTTGGGCGGGAAATTGGGAAGGAATTCTGCCCTGGGATGGAATTCCCAGGGAATTGTGGCTGCCTCATCCCTGGAATTGTCCCAGGCCAGGCTGGAAAAACCTGGGATATTGGAAAGGATGAGCTTTAAATTCCCTCCATCCCATCCCAATACACAAATTTCCTCAGGATCAAATACCCACAGCAAAGTAAATTCCCCTAAAAATCTGTTCCATGTTTGGCAGCGTTTTCCCCGTGGATTTGGGGGAAAAAAATTAATTTAAGAAAAAATTAAATATATAAAGCCTCTGCCTGAATGAAAAGATCTTTTCCCCTCAGGATTTTCCTGCCAGCGCAGTTTGGGGCAGGCAGATTCTGGAACTCCAACAAGGATTTCCCAGGCCGGGTGTCAGGTTTGGAACAAATCCCAAACCTCTGCCAGCTCAGATCCCCACGGGAATGAATCCCACGAGGGAATTCTGCCTCTTGTTGCTCCTCAAAAGCAGCACAAACACCTCAGGAACACTGAGGGCTTTCCTCCCACTCCTGCAAACAAAATGCTTTCATTATCTCCACCGTTTCCTTTTGTTTCTGCTGCACTATCAGCATTTTTCTTGCTGGGAATTACTTCAGCAGCTGGAAAAGGATGGAAGGGGAGAGAAACTGTGCCTGAAATTCAGGTGGTTTCACAATTCCCGGGGGCTGGAACCACATCACACCCAAAAGCTGCTTAATTCTGAAGAGATAAAGCTGAGGGCAGAACCAGAGAGGGCTGGAAAAGCTGAAATGGCAAAACTGAGGAGAAAAGCTGAAATGATAAAACTGAGAGAAGAATTAAAGGGTTTTAAACATGGAAGTGATAAAACTGAGAGAAGAATCAAGGGTTGGAAAGGCTGAAATCATAAAATAGGGCAGATTCAGAGAGGTTTTAAAAGTTGGAATGATAAAACTGAGGAGAAAAGTTGGAATTATAAAACTGAGAGAAGAATGGAAGGGTTTTAAAAGCTGAAATGGTAAAACTGAGGAGAAAAGTTGGAATTATAAAACTGAGACAAGAATGAAAGGGTTTTAAACATTGAAATGATAAAACTGAGAGAAAAATGGAAGGGTTTTAAAAGATGTAAAACTGAGAGAAAAATGGAAGGGTTTTAAAAGATGAAATGATGAAACTGAGAGAAGAATGGAAGGGTTTTAAAAGTTGAAATTAAAAATCTGAGAAGTTGCAATTATAAAACCGAGAGAAGAATGGAAGGGTTTTAAAAGATAAAATGATGAAACTGAGAGAAGAATGGAAGGGTTTTAAACATTGAAATGAAGAACCAGAGAGGAATGGAAGGTTTTAAACATTGAAATGATGAACCAGGGAGGAACGGAAGGGTTTTAGACCCTGAAATGATGAACCAGAGAGGAACGGAAGGGTTTTAGACACTGAAATGAAGAACCAGAGAGGAACGGAAGGGTTTTAGAGCTGCACGTGTCACTCACCTGCAGGCTGCCAGGAGCCCTGTGCACCTTGCCCAGCTGCCAGCAAACACCCGAGGCTCGTGCTTTGCTGCTCATTTCACCAGGAACCTGCTGTGGCACACAGAAAAGTTTAACAAAACAACCTTTTATCAGTCCCAGCTGGAGCAGGACTCGTTTTTCCAGCTGGGAGCTGAGCCCCAGTCCTGCCCTTTCCACGGCTGTGGTTTTGTAACAGCGCTCGGCAATTAAAAGCTTGGTTTAATCAGAGCCACCTTAAGCCAGGCTTTGCTGCAAAAGCTGCTCCACACCTGCCTTGAGCAAACACTCATTCAGATTTACTGCTGGGACGCCTTCTGCTCTTGCAGCACGAAAAATCAGGAGGGGAGATGAATATTGCACAGGGAAAAGGGGTTCAGGAAGGAGAGATGAATATTGCACAGGGAAAAGTGGTCTGGGGAAGGAGAAATGAATATTGCACTGGGAAAAGGGGTTCAGGAAGGAAAAATGAATATTGCACAGGGAAAAGGGGTTCAGGAAGGAAAAATGAATATTGCACAGGGAAAAGGGGTTCAGGAAGGAAAATCAATGTTGCACAGGGAAAAGTGTTTTGGGGAAGGAGAAATGAATATTGCACAGGGAAAAGGGGTTCAGGAAGGAGAAATGAATATTGCACAGGGAAAAGGGGTTCAGGAAGGAGAAATGAATGTTGCACAGGGAACAGCGGTTTGGGAATGGGATAAAGGAGCGGGCTGGAAGGGATTTAAAGGACATCCAGTGTCCCCTTGCTCTGCCCCAGGTGGCTCCAAGCCCTGTCCAGCCATTCCAGGGATGGGATATCCTTGGGATAACCAGTGCCAGGATCCCAGCAGCCTCACAGGGAGGGATTTTTTCCCCAAAATCCAAGCTAAACCCACTCCTTGTCGCTTGGAATTGATCCCCCCTTGTGTCACTCCATCCCTTGGGAATATTCCCTTTCCTGCAGCTCGGGAAGGTCACTGTGAGGTCGCCCCAAAGATTCAGGCTCAACAATCCCAATGTTTTTATAGCAAATTTGGGGTTTTTTTTCACCCCTAAACGCAGCACCAACCCCCGCATTACCGGGATGTGCATCTGGGGGAAGCACAGCCAGGAAAAAACACACCAAAATATCTCCAAATACCCACAACAACCTCAGACCGGCAAAAAACCGTCTTCGACCCAGTTAAATTATTAGGAAATCCAAGTTTCAGGCGGGGATAAGAAGGAGGGGATTCCTTTCCAAACGCAGCTGGGAACAAGGGGGCGACTTTTAATCCCAAACCCCTGCGACCCCCCCCGGTGCCCATTTCCCCTCACAGCCCGGTGCCTCCATGAGGAACCGCTGCCCGCCAGGACAATGGGGCCCCACCCGGGGCTGGCCGCTCGCCCCGGGGCTCGCCTCCCGTTCCCCTTCCCGTTCCCCTTCCCGCTTCCTCCTCCTCCTCACCTGAGGGCTCCCCCGAGCATCCCCCCGCCACCGCCGAGGTTCCCGTTCGTACCCCCCGCCCTCCACCGGCGCCCAGCCCGCTGCGCCCCGCGGCGCCCTGGGAGTTGTAGTCCCGCGGCCGCCGCCCGCCGCCGGACTTCGCCTAGCGGTCGCTCCGCCAAAAACTACAAATCCCAGCAGCCCCCGCGGCGCGCCCCACCTGTACCCCACTCCCCGCAGGTAAATGCGCTCTCTCAGCCTTTTCGCGCGGCGCCGCGGTGCCTGCTGGGAAAGGGAGTCCCGCGCTGCCGGCGGGGCGCGGGGGCGGTGGCGTCTCCGCACTACAACTCCCGGCGTGCCCCGCGCGCGCGCGCCGCCATTTCGGGCGTTGCCTGGCAACGCTGACGCGGCGGGAGGGAGGGAGCGGCGGGGTCGAGGCCTGGGCGCCCCAAAATGCCGGGAATTGGGGAAAATCGGGAAAATCAGCTGTGCCAGATGTGGCTGCCCATCGCTGGCAGTGCCCAAGGCCGGCCTGGAGCAACCTGGGACAGGGGCAGGTGTCCCTGCCCAGGGAAAGGGGTGGGACTGGATGGGATTTAAGATCCCACCCGAACCATTCCATGATTCCATAAAGGAAATTGTGTGGTTTATTTCCCCTAAAAACCTCCTTTTCCTGTGGCTTATTTCTCCCTACAAATCTCCTTCTTCTGTGGTTTATTCCCCCCTACAAATCTCCTTTATTGTGATTTATTTTCCCTAAAAATCTCCTTTCATGTGATTTATTTCCCCTAAAAATCTCCTTTCATGTGGTTTATTTCCCCTTTTAACCCCTCGTTATTTTGCATGCGGATGAGGGGCAGCACTTCCTCAATCCCAGGATTTCCCTCATTCCTTGGAGCACAAATCCATTCAAATTTGGCATTTCCAAGCCAGCTCCTGATTTCCCTCAGGGTTTTTTTTTTTTCCCCTGACAAAAACATAAATAAAAAACCTCAAAGGCCTCATTTAGACAAATTTGGAGCTGTTCCTCACCTTTACTTTGAGGAAAATCTGTTTTTCTGCTTAAATTATCACGGAAAAGATTCCTGGAGGTTTTGGATGTCTTCCCTAAACTGGAAGTTCCAAATTATACACAAAATATTGATTTGTTTTGTTGGATTTTTCTTTATTTTAAAGCAAGACTGCCTCAAAATGCAAATGTTTGTAAAGGTAGGAGGTGAAAAACGCCATGAATATTCATAAAATATGATAATTATCCCAATTACAGCTAACGAGGTAATCTTCCTTCATTTCCGCGGCTTTGTAAATATTATTTTTTAAAATAAAAAGGAAGGAGGGAGAAAAGGAAATGGGGAATCACTCCCGAGGCTCCAAAAATGGATCTAAAAAAAAATAAATATAAAAAAAGAGAAATCCATGGAGGATTTTCTGGGATGGGAATGGGAATGGGGATGGGGAATGGGAATGGGGATGGGAATGGGAATGGGAATGGGGATGGGGATGGGGATGGGAATGGGAATGGGGATGGGAATGGAATGGAATGGGAATGGGAATGGGAATGGGAATGGGGATGGGGAATGGGGATGGAATGGAATGGGAATGGGAATGGGGATGGAATGGGGATGGGGATGGGGATGGGGATGGGGATGGGAATGGGGATGGGAATGGGAATGGGGAACTGGGAATGGGGAATGGGAATGGGGATGGGAATTGGGAATGGGAATGGGGATGGGGATGGAATGGAATGGGAATGGGAATGGGAATGGGGATGGGGATGGGAATGGGAATGGAGAATTCCTGAACTCACTGAATTCCTGATTCCTTGGAATGCCAACCCCTCCTTCCTACCTGGATGTGCTCTGGGCAGGGCAAAGCATTCCTGGGAATTCCTGGGGTGAGGATCCCGGGGATCCGGGAGAAGCAGGAATGGGGAATCCCGGGTGTGAGCATCCCGGGGATCCGGGAGAAGCAGGAATGGGGAATCCCGGGTGTGAGCATCCCGTGGATCCGGGAGAAGCAGGAATTCTGCCAGCAGAGGGCCGGAGGGATCGCGTTGGGTCGGGCAAAGCGGGGAGGAGGAGAGGCGGCCCTGGGGCATTCCCGGTCACATTCCCGACCCCGGAGTCAGCCCGAGCCATTCCCGAGCGTCACGGCCGGGAAGTGACTCCTTCCGGCGGGATGGCCCGGGACGGGCACGGGACAGGCACGGGACAGGCACGGGACGGGCACGGGACAGGCACGGGACAGGCCCGGGACGGGCACGGGACAGGCCCGGGACGGGGGGGAGCTCTGAGCACCGCCGGGAAAAGCGGGAGAGCCGGGATCTGGGATGAAGGAAAACGTCATCCGTGTATCCCGTTAGTGAACACTGACAGCACAAACGCGTGTGAATGCTGTGTTTAATGTCTCTGATTTGTTTCTGATTTGTTTCGGATTTATTTCTGATTTATTTCGGATTTATTTCTGATTTATTTCGGATTTATTTCTGATTTGTTTCGGATTTATTTCTGATTTATTTCTGGTTTGTTTCTTATTTTCCAGCAGCTCCTGCATCCACGCTCACCAGCTCCTGGAATCCAGGGAGAGCACACCGGGAATATCCAGGGAGAACACCGGGAATATCCAGGGAGAGAACACTGGGAATATCCTGGGAGAACACACCGGGAATATCCAGGGAGAACACACCGGGAATATCCAGGGAGAACACACCGGGAATATCCAGGGGAAACACCCTGAGCTCTCCACCTCCCCCTTGGCAGCTTTTCCTGAGACACAATTCCAGCTCTGACCCTGCAGCATTCCTGGGAATTCCTGGGAATTCCTGCTCCAGGCTGGAACCAGGGAATGATTCCCAGCCTTGTTCTGCTCCAGAGAAACAATTCCCAGTTCTGTCCCTGCAGCATTCCCAGAAATTCCAGGTGCAGAGAATTTCCAGAGAAACAATTCCCTGAGCCCAGCTCTGTCCCTGCAGCGTTCCCGGAAATCCAAGGCCGGGAATTCCCGCTCCAGGCCGAAAACAGGGAACGGTTCCCAGCCTTTTCTCCTCCCGGCTGCAGATGAACCATTCCCAGCCCTGTCCCTGCAGCATTCCCGGGAATTCCCGCTCCAGCCCCAAAACAGGGAACAGTTCCCAGCCTTTTCTCCTTCTGGCTCCAGAGAAACAATTCCCAGTTCTGTCCCTGCAGCATTCCCGGGAATTCCCGCTCCAGCCCCAAAACAGGGAACAGTTCCCAGCCTTTTCTCCTTCTGGCTCCAGAGAAACAATTCCCAGTTCTGTACCTGCAGCATTCCCGGAATTCCAGGTGCAGAGAATTTCCAGAGATAAAATTCCCTGAGCCCAGCTCTGTCCCTGCAGCGTTCCCAGAAATCCAAGGCCGGGAATTCCCGCTCCAGGCCGGAACCAGGGAACAGTTCCCAAACTTTTCTCCTCCCAGCTCCAGATGAACCATTCCCAGCCCTGTCCCTGCAGCATTCCCGAATTCCCGTGCTCCAGCAGGAACGGTTCCCAGGCTTTCCCCTCCTCACGTGCAGCAGCTCCCGGCCAGGTGTTGGCTCTGCAGTTCCAGGTGTCGGAATTCCAACGGGAATTCCAGAGGCTGTGCTGGCTCCTGCCAGGAAGGAGCCGTGGTGAGACACCAGACCAGCCTGGGGCTGGCCCTGGCACGGATTTTATTTTATTTTATTTTATTTTAAATTTTATTTTATCTATTCTATTCAATTCATATTTTTATTCTATTTTATTTTATTTGACTTTATTTTAGATTTTATTTTATTTTACTTTACTGTATTTTATATTCTATTTTATTTTAGTTTAGTTTAGTTTCCCCTGCTCTGTTCCTGCCAGATAATTTTGAGATTTGATGGAAATGCATGGAAAACAAGAGAAATTTTTTAAAATCCCTCAAAACTCGGATTTCCCAGGCTGGAAAAGAGCGATCACTGACAGAAATAGGTGGAAAACAAGAGAAAATTTTTAAACCCTTCAAAACTCGGATTTCCCAGGCTGGAAAAGCGGGATCCCCGAGGAAGAGGCCGGAGAGGAGGGCGGTGCTGCAGACCTCTCAAAACTCGGATTTCCCAGGCTGGAAAAGAGGGATCACTGATGGAAATTTTTTTTTTAAATCCCTAGAAATCAAAATTTCCCAGGCTGGAAAAGCGGGATCCCTGATGGAAAATTTTAAAAAATCCCTGGAAATCAGAATTTCCCGTGCTGGAAAAGCGGGATCCCTGATGGAAATGGATGGAAACCAAGAGAAAATTTTAAAAAATCCCTGGAAATCAGAATTCCCCATGCTGGAAAAGCGGGACCCCCGAGGAAGAGGCCGGACAGGAGCGCGGCGCTGCCCCCGCCCGTGTCCCGGCGCTCCCGGAGCGTTCCGGGCCGTGACTCCGGGAGTGACTCAGCGGATGGGGCCGGGCAGGCGGAGCAGGAAAAGTCACCTGGGCAGGAAGGGATAAAACTCACCTGGGCAGGAAGGGATAGAACTCACCTGCGCAGGGAGGGATAAAACTCACCTGGGCAGGGAGGGATAGAACTCACCTGGGCAGGAAGGGATAAAACTCACCTGCGCAGGGAGGGATAAAAGTCACCTGGGCAGGAAGGGATAAAACTCACCTGGGCAGGGAGGGATAAAACTCACCTGGGCTGCGGCCCCGCTCCCGGAACCCCGCAGGTCCGCGCTCCGCAGCGTCCCAACCCCGCTCCGGGGGATTCCCGGGGATTCCTGCGGGATTCCCGGAGGATTTCGGGGACTGGGAGAGCGGGAGATGGTTTGGATCCTCTGACAGCACCTGCACAGGTATTGCTGGGGCTGGGGGGGTCCCATGGAGCCATCCTGGGACGGGAATGGGGACTGGGAACTGGGGAACTGGGGAATGGAGAGTGGGGAACTGGGACTGGGGAACTGGGACTGGGACTGGGGAACTGGGATCAGTGGGAATGGGGAATATAGGAATGGAGACTGGGGACTGGGACTGGGGAACTGGGATCAGTGGGACTGGGGAATGAAGAGTGGGAACTGGGACTGGGACTGGGGAACTGGAACTGGGATCCCTGGGACTGGGACCAGTGGGACTGGGATCGCTGGGACTGGGATCCCTGGGACTGGTGAACTGGAATAGGGATTGTTGGGACTGGGATCACTGGAAAAGGGATTGTTGGGACTGGGATGGTTGGAACTGAACTGGGATTGTTGGAATGGGAATCACTGGGACTGGGACTGTTGGAACTGGGATCACTGGAATTAGGATCACTGGAATAGGGACTTGGAACTGGGATTGTTGGAACTAAACTGGGATTGTTGGAGCTGGAATCAGTGGGACTGGGATCATGGGAACTGGGATCGCTGGGACTGGGATCACTGGGACTGGGATCACTGGAATAGGGACTTGGAACTGGGATTGTTGGAACTAAACTGGGATCGCTGGAGCTGGAATCAGTGGGACTGGGATCATGGGAACTGGGATCGCTGGGACTGGGATCACTGGGACTGGGATCACTGGAATAGGGACTTGGAACTGGGATTGTTGGAACTGGAATCAGTGGGACTGGGATCGCTGGGACTGGGATTGTTGGAATGGGAATCATTGGGACTGGGATCACTGGGACTGGGATCACCGGAGCAGGACCTGTTGGATCTGGGCTTGCTGGAATGGGAATTTCTGGGACAGGACAAATCCTCCTCCTAAATCCTAAAGCCCACCCTGACCGTGGCCCCTCTCACTCTGCCTTTATGGTGCAAAAGATTCCTGGAATTCACAAAAACCACGGAATTCTCCCTTGGTGTCCCTCTCCTGGGTGGCTCCGCTGTTTCCTGGAACCTCTGGAAAATCCCAGTGAATCCCTGGGAAAAGGAGAGGCTCTGAATTAAAAAAAAAAATCAGAAAATCAAACAAAACAGCCCCTAAAAATCAAATTATTCTGTTAAAAAGACGCAGGAGGGGAAGGTTGAGGAATTTAAAACGTCTCATCCTCAGCTTGATCCAAATCCCTGCGTTCCAACCGATCCGCAAAGCCAAAAATCAAAATACCAAACAAAAAATAAGCGGAATAAAAGGATAAAAAGAAGCAAAATCTCAATTTAATAAAACCAAGAAGCTTCTATAATGCCACAGTCACATTTAGCAAATGGGAAAGTTTGAAATTTGTATTTAAAAGCAAATTTTGGGGTAAATTTGAGTTTAATTTGGGATTTTGCTGGAGCTGATGTGGGCCAGAGCAGCAAAAAGCTCCTGAGAGCAGCTGGAATGTCATCAGTCATCATTAATAATTAATAATGAATCATGAATCATTTCATCATTCCTAATTGTGCAATGAGAGCTCGGGCAAGCCAAGGCTTCTCCTTTCTCAGCTGCTCAGAATTCCTGAAAATCCCTGAAAAACACCCAGGAACTGCAAAAAAAATGGATTTAGGGGAGGGAAAAAGGGAATATTTGGGAAAAAATAGAGATTAAAAGGAAAAAACTCCCTCAGGTTTTCCTCAGCTTTGGGCCACTTTGGGCTTGGATTTGTGATTTATCTGTAAGCAGGAAAAATTTAAAAATAGATTAAGAACATTAAAATTGGCTGGAAATGCACAAAATTTAACCTCAGGAGAAGCTGCATCCTAAAAAAAATAAAAAAAATAATATTTAAATGAAGAGAAGCACAAAAAAGAGAAATTCTGAAGGGTGGATCTGAGGGAAATTATATAATAAATTAATAAATAAATAAAAATATAAATATGTAAATAGGTATTTAAATATATTTAAATATATGTATCTAGATATAAAAATATAAACATATAAATAGTAATATCTTTTTATATAAATAAAGAAATAAATATATAATATATCAATTTATAAATATAAATAATTGAGATAAATAAATATATATTAATATAATAGTAGAAATAGTGAAAATTAATAAATAGTATAATTATTATAAATGATTAATAAATGGATAAATAATTATTATAAATGATTAAATGATAAATTATAATAATTATAAATAACACACTACTACTCATGGAGATTTTTTGGGTTTTTTCCTTGTGGAATGTGAGGAACACTCGGTGTTTGCTAATTGAAATTCGGGTTTAATTGCTGGGCCGAGCTGTAATTACAGGAGGCAGCTGAGCGTGGCCGGTCCCGGTGACACATCCCAAAAAAATGGGCTGGGAAATCCTCGGGAATTTCCTGCGGCTTTGGGGACGGGAGCTGCGGGGGGTGCCTGAAATAATCCGAATTTTGGGGCATTTTAACAAGGATGAAGCTCAAAAGTTGGCTCTGGATGCAGGTGGAGCTAAAATAATCCAAATTTTGGGGGATTCCAGGAAGGATGAAGCTCAAAAGTTGGGTCTGGATGCAGGTGGAGCGAAAATAATCCAAATTTTGGGGGATTTTAACAAGGATGAAGGGACAGGAGCTGAAATTTGGGTCTGGGTGCAGGTGGTGCCTAAAATAATCTGAATTTTGGGAGATTCCAGGAAGGATGAAGCTCAAAAGTTGGGTCTGGATGCAGGTGGAGCTAAAATAAGTCGAATTTTGGGGGATTTTAAGAAGGATGAAGCTCAAAATTTGGGTCTGGAATGCAGGTGGTGCCTAAAATAATCTGAATTTTGGGGGATTTTAAGAAGGATGAAGCTCAAAATTTGGGTCTGGAATGCAGGTGGTGCCTAAAATAATCTGAATTTTGGGGGATTTTAAGAAGGATGAAGCTCAAAATTTGGGTCTGGAATGCAGGTGGTGCCTAAAATAATCTGAATTTTGGGGGATTTTAAGAAGGATGAAGCTCAAAATTTGGGTCTGGAATGCAGGTGGTGCCTAAAATAATCTGAATTTTGGGGGATTTTAAGAAGGATGAAGCTCAAAATTTGGTTCTGGATGCAGATATTGCTAAAATAATCCAAATTTTGGGGCATTCCAGGCAGGATGAAGGGCCAGGAGCTGAAACTTTGGCTCTGGGCGCAGGGGGTGCCTGAAATAATCGGTGGTGCCTAAAATAATCTGAATTTTGGGAGATTCCAGGAAGGATGAAGGGACAGGAGCTGAAATTTGGGTCTGGGTGCAGGTGGTGCCTGAAATAATCTGAATTTTGGGGCATTCCAGGCAGGATGAAGGGCCAGGAGCTGAAACTTTGGCTCTGGGCGCAGGGGGTGCCTGAAATAATCTGGAATTTTGGGAGATTCCAGGAAGGATGAAGGGACAGGAGCTGAAATTTGGGTCTGGGTGCAGGTGGTGCCTGAAATAATCTGAATTTTGGGGGATTTTAACAAGGATGAAGCTCAAAAGTTGGGTCTGGATGCAGATATTGCTAAAATAATCCGAATTTTGGGGCATTTTAACAAGGATGAAGCTCAAAAGTTGGGTCTGGATGCAGGTGGAGCTAAAATAATCTGAATTTTGGGGGATTTTAAGAAGGATGAAGCTCAAAATTTGGGTCTGGATGCAGATATTGCTAAAATAATCTGAATTTTGGGGCATTCCAGGCAGGATGAAGGGCCAGGCGCTGAAATTTGCCTCTGGACGCCGCTGTTGCCTAAAACAGCCCAATTTTGGGGGATTTTGGGGGTGACGAGGGCACAGGAGCCATTTCTGACCCATTTCCTGCTGGCACTCACAGCTCCGGGCCGAGCATTCCGATTTTTAACAGGAAAAACCTGAATTTCCCCTTTTCCCTCATTATTTTCCCCCCAGTTCCAGCTCCCAGGAGCCGGGACCTGCCCAAACCCCCCAAAAATCCCTTTTTTTCCCCCATTATCCCCCCTGAAAGTGTCTCTGTCTCCTAGGCCTGGCTCAGCTCCCTAATTAGGAGATTCCCAGAATTAGGAGATTCCCCATGGAATCCTCTGCTCTGCTCCCGGCTCCCGGCGCCCGGGGTACGTCGGGTTCTGCTGGTTCTGCCCCAAAAAGGAGCAGTTTGGGGGGGATTTGTCCGGTTCTGCCTTTTCTGCCCCAAAAGGAGCAGTTTGGGGGGGATTTGTCCGGTTCTGCCTTTTCTGCCCCAAAAAGGAGGAATTTGGGGGGGATTTGTCCGGTTCTGTGTTTTCTGCCCCAAAAAGGAGCAGTTGGGGGGATTTGTCCGGTTCTGCCCCAAAAAGGAGCAGTTTGGGGGGAATTTGTTCAGTTCTGCGTTTTTTGCCCCAAAAAGGAGCAGTTTGGGGGGGATTTGTCCGGTTCTGCGTTTTCTGCCCCAAAAAGGAGCAGTTTGGGGGGATTTGTCCGGTTCTGCCTTTTCTGCCCCAAAAAGGAGGAATTTGGGGGGATTTGTCCGGTTCTGCCCCAAAAGGAGCAGTTTGGGGGGATTTGTCCGGTTCTGCCTTTTCTGCCCCAAAAAGGAGGAATTTGGGGGGAATTTGTCGGGTTCTGCCTTTTCTGCCCCAAAAGGAGCAGTCTGGGGGGATTTGGCTCCTGGCCCCGGCACCCCGAGGATTCCTGGGGGAAAGGGCCGGGGCATCGCTGGGGGTTCTTTGCTTTTCTCGAAGGGTTTTTGGGGATGCCCAAGAGCCAAGGCCGGATAAAATCAGGAGAATAAAACAAAATTTAAAAATGAAAAAAATAAAATTAAGTTAAAAGCAGGTGACTGGGAATAAATCAAACAAAATAAGAGAATAAAATGAAATAATAAAATGAAATAACGTAGAATAAATAAAAGGAAAAGTGGGTGATTCTGAATAGATAAATAGAATAAAAGAGGTGGAATAAAGGAAATGAAATGAAATAAAAAGCGGGTGAGTCTGAGGAGATAAAGAGAATAAAAGATGTAGAAGGAAATAAATGAAATGAAACAAAAAGCGGGTGATTCCAAATAAATAAATAAATAAAATAAAAAGCAGGTGATTCTGAATAAATGAATAAAAGAAAAGCAATTAAATAAAAAGAAATAAAAGGAAATAAAAAGTGGATGATTCTGAATAAATAAATAAATAAAAGAAAACAATTAAATAAAAGAAAAGCATAAAAGAAAAGAAAATAATAACAGAATGTCATAAAACAAAATAATCAAGTAAAATCATTAAATATAATAATTAAATAATGGAATGGAATAGAATAAAATAAATTAATAGAGAATAGAATGAAATAGAATAGAATAAAATAAAATATAATAAAATAAATTAAAATAGAATAGAACAGAATGAAATAAAATAGAATAAAAATAAATTAAAATATAATAGAATGAAATAAAATAAAATAGAATAAAATAAAATAAAGTGGAATAGAATGAAATAAAATGGAATAAAAATGAAATAAATTAAAATGGAAAAGAATAGAATGAAATAAATTAGAACAAAATAAATTAGAATAGAATGAAATAAAATTAAATAGAATAAAATAAAGTGGAATAGAATAGAATGAAATAAAATAGAAAAAAAATCAAAGTGGAATAGAATAGAATGCAATAAAATAGAATAAAATAAATTAGAATGAAAAAAATAGAAAAAATAAAAAATTAAAATGGAATGGAATAGAATGCAATAAAATAGAATAAAATAAATTAGAATGAAAAAAATAGAAAAAATAAAAGAAATTAAAATGGAATGGAATAGAATGCAATAAAATAGAATAAAATAAATTCGAATGAAAAAATAGAAAAAATAAAAGAACTTAAAATGGAATGGAATAGAATGCAATAAAATAGAATAAAATAAATCAGAATAGAATAGAATAGAACGGTTCAGAATAATGAACTTAAATGGATCCCTTGTGTTCTGCCTGCAGGGTCTCGGCGGGCTCCGTTCCCCTCGGGGGGCTCCGTCATGTCCTGCTTCCCGCAGCTCTGGCACTCCAGCCCCCCCGAGTCCCCGTCCAGCCCCGCGGCCGCCGCGCCGCCGCTGCCGCTGAGCCCCATCGCGGTGCCACCCCTGGGCGACGGGCGCAGGAGGGGCCGCTCGCCCGCGGGCTCCCCGAGCTGCGCCAGCCCCGGCTCGCCCAAGCCCGCCTCGCCCGTCGAGTGCTCCATCTGCTTCAACACCTACGACAACACCTTCAAGACGCCCAAGCTGCTGCAGTGCTCGCACGTGTTCTGCCTGGAGTGCGTGGCGCGGCTGAGCGCGGCGCTGGGCGCCGGCGAGGAGCTGCTGCCGTGCCCCTTCTGCCGCCAGCCCACCAGCCTGCCCAGCCAGGGCGCGCCCGGCCTGCGCACCAGCAAGGAGCTGCTGGCCACGCTGCCGCCCGAGCTGCAGCGCGAGCGCCAGCTCTGGATGGACGGCACCAAGCTCTGCTGCCGCTGCGCCGACGACGCCGACGCCGAGAACCCCGAGTCGTGCGTGTCCATCGACGTGGCCATGAGCAAGGCCGAGAGCGCCGAGGCGGCCCCGGCGGGGCTGGCGGGGCGGCTGTCGCGCTGCGAGATCTGCGACGACTGGAAGCGCATCGTGCTGCTCTCGGCGCTGCTCATCATCCTCTTCTGCATCATCCTGTGGCCCGTGCAGTGCGCGCTCAAGACGGGCAACCTGCGCTGCTTCACGCGGACTGCGGCCGTCAGCCGGCCCGAGCTGCTGCCCCCCAAAGCCACCGCGGCCGCCGCCGCGGTCACACGGCCGCCCTTCCAGTAGGGACAGGGCTCTGGGGCTGCTCAGGGATGGGGACAATGATGGGACCTTCCGTCCTGATGGAATCTGGGACAAAATCCCTGTTCCATTAGTGCCAGAGATCCTGGATCTGCTCAGGGATGGGGACAACGATGGGACCTTCCGTCCTGATGGAATCAGGGACAAAATCCCTATTCCATTAGTGCCAGAGATCCTGGATCTGCTCAGGGATGGGGACAACGATGGGACCTTCCGTCCTGATGGAATCAGGGACAAAATCCCTAAGGATCTGTCACACGGCCGCCCTTCCAGTAGGGACGGAGCCACTGGATCTGCTCAGGGATGAGAACAGGAACAGAACCTGTTGTCCTCACAGAATCTGGGACAAAATCCCCATTCCAGTAGAGCCAGAGCCCCTGGATCTGCTCAGCTCCATGGGGACAAGGGACAGGACCTGCTGCCCTGAGAGGATCGGGGACAAAACCCCTCTCCAGCAGCACCAGGAGCCTCTGGATCTGCTCGGCTCCATGGGGACGAGGGACAGGACAAAGCCCTCCTGGATCTGCTCAGGGACAAGGGACAGGACAAAGCCCTCTCCTGGATCTGCTGAGGGACAAGGGACAGGACAAAGCCCTCTCCTGGATCTGCTCAGGGACGAGGGACAGGACAAAGCCCTCCTGGATCTGTTCGGCCCCATGGGGATAAGGAACAGGAGAAAAGCCTTTCCTGGATCTCGGCTCCATCCCCACTGCCAAGCACGACCCACTGCATTCCTGGGATTGCCGCAGATCCCACATCCCACTGGCTCTGGAATGTCCTTCCTGTGCCTCTGGAATGTCCTTCCTGTGCCTCTGGAATGTCCTTCCCGTGCCTCTGGAATGTCCCCGTGCATCCTGCTGCCAGGCTCTCCATGGAATCCAGGGCTGGGAATGCATCGAGGTCTTCCCAGGATCCCCTTCCCAGGATCCCCTTCCCAGGATCCCCGTTCCTCCAGTTCCTGAGGGAATAAAGGGATTTTTTTTTTTCTGGAACAGCTCCATGATTATTCCATGAGGAGCTGGGATGGGGAGGGCTGGATGAACAGATGGGAAACACCCGAATTCCAGAGGTTGGGAAGGTGAAACACCCAAATTCCAGAGGTTGGGAAGGTGAAACACCCAAATTCCAGAGGCTGGGAAGGTGAAACACCCAAATTCCAGAGGCTGGGACAGTCAAACACCCAAACTCCAGAGGTTGGGAGGGTGAAACACCAAAATTCCAGAGGCTGGGAAGGTGAAACCCAAATTCCAGAGGTTGGGAGGTGAAACTCAAATTCCAGAGGCTGGGACAGTCAAACACCCAAATTCAGAGGCTGGGAGGGTGAAACACCAGAATTCCAGAGGTTGGGAGGTGAAACTCAAATTCCAGAGGCTGGGAAGGTTCCCTGGTGCAGAGGGGATAAAAGAGACAAAGAGGGAAAAGTGGAGACTCCCAGGATCTGACACCACAGAAGAGGGGAAGGAAAGACACAAAAATCCTGTAAAACCCTGGGATTTGGGATGGAATCGATGGAAAAACTGAATTTAGGAGACGCAGGAACTTCCTTCCCCCTCCTCTGCCCAGCAACCAGCACCAAGAAAAGCAGGATTCTCCTTTATCCTAGGGAGAAAAAAAAGAAGCAGCAGGCCCCTTAAAAACCTCTTGAATCGTTTCCAAACTTTATTTCTGGGTGATTTGACGAAAGACACGAGTTAGTAATGGTTACATCATGCTGCTCCTCTACTGCGCATCGCCCGCCACAGCCCAGCCAGCAGCTCCCAGAGGCAGGAATTCACCCTCTCCACGGACACCTCAGGGCTTGAAATTAAAAAAAAAAAGCAAAAAAAAAATCCAGAAAAAACACCCAACCTCAATGTCTTTTTTTTTGTTGTTTTTTTGATTTTTTTTGCACGTTCTGTGGTAGAAATGTTGTTAAAAATAAAGCCCAGGTGAATGCGCTGCTGGAAATTCCAAATGCTCCCCCACGAGGACACAAATCCTGGTTTAAGGCATTTCCAAGCCCCAGCCAAAGCAGAATGAGTTTTTAGGTTTATTTTTGTTCAATTCTTGGGGGTTTTTTTGTTGTTTTTTCGTTCCTGAAAATCAGCAGCTTCCCCATCCCTCTGGAGCTGGAACAGCAGCCCAGCTGGGAATGCCATTCCCAAAATATGGACTGGGGGATTCCCAGACCCCTCCCTCCCACCCCACCCCAGCACTTCCCACCAGGAATCCCAACACTGACCCAAAAAATGGGAATTTTGGCACCCACGGAGGCCCCAGGCACAGCAGAGCCCTCATCCCACACAGGGCACAGCCCCCCGTGGAATGTTTAACCCTGCATTTTCCACAGGAATGTCACAGGTTGGGAATATTTTTTTTTTTTTAAATCAAATAAATGAAATCAAAGCAGATCCAAGTGGTTTTTCCATTGGTTTTCCCTCTTGGTTCCACCTTTGTTCAGAGCTCACCCTGAGAGAAGAAATTTGACCTTTCCTGGCTCAAAAGTTGGTGCCAAAACCCCCATTTCAAAGGGTGCCCTGCAAGGTGGGGTCGAAATTTAGGGGAAAAAAGCCAAATTTTGGCACCTTGGGCAGGAACTCCCACCCAGAACCCAGTGGGATCCCACAGATGAATTCCCTAAAGTTGTTTTTCCACACAGAAATTCAGGCTGAGGGTGGGAAAGGGACACAGAGGCCACAAAGCAGCAGGAAATCCTTCCATGGAGAAGGAATCCCAATGGAAGATGGGATTTCTTCCAGAGCTGGGATCCTTCTGCTCTTCTCCACATCCAGGAGACCCCGAGCTGCAGCCAAACCCCAGAAACATCAGAACTGGCCCCAAAATTTTTCTTTCCTGGAAGAAAATGCTTCAAATTGCCCCAAACACTCCCCAGCCTCTCTCCTGCTCCTGCTGGGCTGGAAGCACCCAGAGGATGTGGAAGACCCAAAAACTCCAAGTCCAAGGTGAAAAATCCCAAATTCTCTTGGTGGGAGAGGCTCCAGTGGCAGCTCTGCCTTGCCAGGCTGGGAGGCAGAGGCTGGAGAACGCTGTGGGGCGTGGAAGGACACATCCAGGAGATCTCCGAGGAGGGAAAAGGGAATCTCCTGGTCCTTTTGGAAGAGGGAGACAATTCCCAGCTCTTGGAGAGGAGCTCCAAGTGATCCCCAGCATGAGGGAGGCCAAGGCTCGCTGGCTGGGGAGGGTCAGGACACGTCTGGATGAACACGAAATGTGGGAATGAGGTTTCACAGCTGCTCCTGCACGTGTCCAAGAGGAAGAGGAGGAGGAGAACCGCTGGAAAAATCCACATTTTTGCCTCCCCAGCACCTCTGAGTCCAGCAAAGAGTCCCGAGGCGGGCGCGGAGCGAAGCGCGGGCCCGGCGCTCTCCCTTCCAGTGCGTGGCATCCCTGATTCGAGCAGAGCTCGGAGGAGAAAAGCACTTGAGATCCTTACACACATAAATTACAGTGAGAGGAACAGGGGGCAGCAGGAGTCAGGTGAACACGGGGCCAGGAGAAGGTTTGGAAGAGCCAGAGCCTGGAGCAGGGCGGGAATTCCCACCCCGTGAATCCGCCAAGGCCTCGCCAGCACCAGCAGCACTTCCCCCACAGGAAAACAGGGTTGTTTTTGGGAACAAACCCCCCAAAAAACAGGAAAAAAAAGGGGGGAAACAACCCCAAAAACAAAGAAGCTTCAAGTATGAAGAAGATCGACGCTGCAGTGGGAGAGTTCTGGTTCTTCCCGGGGCCTGGTCGAGCTTTGTTCCGCTGCTCGGGCCGAGCCTCGCCGCCCCGAGAGCCCGAAAGCAAAAAGGGTTTCCTGCCCTCCCTGTCCCCCCAAAAATATAAAAAGCAATAAGTTTACAAAAATAGAAAATAATTACAGCAATAGGCAGGAGGGAGGGAGGAGGGGGCAGGGAGGGAGTCCCGGGCTCTATTTGGCCGAGCAGTGCAATATCCGGGGCTGGTTCAGGGCGTCCTCCAGCAGGTGCAGCTCCCGCCGGTCCACGAGCACGTCCCGCATGCAGCCCACGAAACCCGTGCTGAAGGCCTTGGGCAGGCGCTGGGGCACGCTCAGCTTGTCCAGACCCCCTGGAAAGGGAATGGGGTCAGCTGGGACAGGGACAGAGCAGGGACAGAGCAGGGGACAGGGGCAGAGCAGGGGACAGAGGAAGGGACAGGGACAGAGCAGGGACAGCCCAGGGCACAGGGGCACGTCCCACATGCAGCCCTGAAACCCGTGCTGAAGGCCTTGGGCAGGCGCTGGGGCACGCTCAGCTTGTCCAGACCCCCTGGAAAGGGAATGGGGTCAGCTGGGACAGGGACAGAGCAGGGACAGAGCAGGGGACAGGGGCAGAGCAGGGGACAGAGGAAGGGACAGGGACAGAGCAGGGACAGCCCAGGGCACAGGGGCACGTCCCACAAGCAGCCCATTAAACCCGTGCTGAACGCCTTGGGCAGGTGCAGGGAACACTCAGCTTGTCCAGACCCCCTGGAAAGGGAATGGGGTCAGCTGGGACGGGGACAGAGCAGGGACAGGGACAGCAAAGGGACAGGGGACAGCTCCCCTGAAATGGCACAGCATCAGCTCAGGGCAGGGGATAGGGGACAGACAAACAGGACAGCACAGGGGACAGGGCATTTTTCAGCCACCTGAGAGGCCACAGGATGGCGTTGGAGGGAGGGAGGGACATCCCCAAGATCCCAAACATCCCCAGGATCCCCAGCCCCGTGCCGCTCTGAGCCCCCCGGGGACAGCAGCACGTCCCTCGCCCGGACTCACCCAGCCACAGCGCCCCGTCCGTGTCCAGCTGGGTGGCCCCGAGAGGAGAGGAGCCGGCGATGGGGGCCTCGTTCCCCACCTGCAGGGAGCCCTCCCTCTGCACCCTGCTCCCGAGGGAGGAGAAGAGCAGGATTCAGGAGCGGCCCCGAGAGCCACCCCGAGCTGCTCCCTGCAACTCCTGACACCGGGAACCACCGGGGGGCGGATTTTGGGATGAGCTCCATCCCACCCCTGGGACTGGGATTCACCTGTGGGGTCTGTCCCCCCTGCTGCCCTAAAGGGGGGCAGATTTTGGGATAACCTCCACCCCATTCATGGGATATCCCCACCAGTGCTTTTCCAGGGCTGTAGTTTATTTTTTCTTTATCTTAAACTCTAAAACTAAACTTTTCTTTACTTAACGTGTCTCTGCTTTGAACTACAAATCCACATTCTCACTTCCAGCACCTAAGTCTGGAAGCCTTTTCCAAGGCCTCAGATCAAACCCTGGGTTTAATTCTAAGCTTTGGCTTCCAGACCCAAAGTCCTGAGAGTTCTTATCCAAGGAGATCCTTGGGGATCGCAGGGCTCAGCTGGAGAAGCTGCCTCACTCCCAGCTGCTCTGTCCTGACCCAGATTCTGACCCCAATCCTGATCCCAATCCCGACCCTGACCCCAATGCAATCCTGATCCCAATCCAAATCCCAATCCTGACCCTGACCCCAATCCTGATCCTGATCCAGATCCCAATTCCACTACTGATCCTGATCGCAATCCAGATTCTGATCCCAATCCAGATCCCACTCCTGATCCAGATCCCAATCCTGATCCTAACCCAGATTCTGATCCCAATCCTGATCCAGATCCCAATCCCAATCCTGATCCCACTCCTGATCCTGACAGCAATCCAGATCCTGGTCCTGATCCAGATCCCAATCCCGATGCTGATCCTGATCCGGATCCAAATCCCAATGCCAACCCATATCCTGATCCCAATCCTGATCCCGATCCCAATCCAGATCTCAGTCCCAGTCCTGACCCAGATGCTGATCCCAATCCTCATCCAGATCCCAGTCCCGATCCCAATCCAGATGCCAATCCTGTTCCTAAGTCTGGACGGATCCCAATCCCGATCCTGATCCCAATCCCGATCCCAATCCCGATCCCAATCCCAATCCAGACCCCGATCCCGTTCCCGTTCCCGCTCCCGCCGTGGCCGTGGCTCACCGGGAGGCGCGGATGTGCACCCACTGGTTGGTGTTGACGGGCACGCTGGAGCGCAGCGTGACGGCCTTGGAGCCCAGGTCGTAGCTGAGCTGCACGAAGCCGTCCACGATGGCGAGCGCGATGTAATCGGCCCTGTCCAGCCCCTTCCCGCTCCACAGCAGCAGCCCCTGCGTCGCCTCCGTCTTGATGCTCAGCTCAAAGTGGTTGGACTGCAGCGCCTTCTCGCTGCGGGGACACCGCGGAGCTCCTCAGCCTCCTCCTCCTCCTCCTCTTCCTCCTCCTCCTCCTCCTCCTCCTCCCCGGGGACAAACTCCCCGCCTTTCCCCACCTCTGGCCCGGAGGGTCACGGGTTTGGGATAGTCTCCATCCCACTGAGCAGCTCGGAGCAGGGGCAGCCTCCATCCCACTCCTGGGGTTCACCCATGGGGTCTGTGCTACCTGCTGCCCTAAAAGTGGCAGATTTTGGGATAATCTCCATCCTACCGAGCAGCTCGGAGCTGGGGCAGCCTCCATCCCACTCCTGGGATTCACAGGAAGGGTCTGTCCCAGCTGCTGCCCTAAAGGTGCCAGATTTTGGGATAATCTCCATCCCACTCCTGGGGTTGGGATACAGGCAGCCTCCATCCCACTCCTGGGATTCACAGGAAGGGTCTGTCCCAGCTGCTGCCCTAAAGGTGCCAGATTTTGGGATAATCTCCATCCCACAAAGCAGCTGGGACAGCCTCCATCCCACTCCTGGGGTTGGGATACACAGGAAGGAGATTCTCTGGAGATTCCCTGCTTCTATCCTCATGGAGCACAAGGACCAGTCCCTGCCAGCTGTGACACAGCAGCCGTGGCACCCTGGGGACTGTCACAGGAAGGGGACAGAGGCAACAAAACCTTTTCCCAAGGGAGGAGGGAAGGAAAAGTGGGATTTTCCCCAGGTTGGAATCCTGATTTTTGCCTCTGGAACAGGCACGAGGCTCCTGGAACACCGGAGTGGGACACACAGAGACACCAGAGAGACACCACAGAGCTTTTTATTCCCAAGGGATGCTGCACCCAGGGGGGACATGGCCCTGCTGTCCCTGCAGGGCCCTCAGCCTGGGGCTGGTGGCACTTTGCTGTCCCTGCAGGGCCCTCAGCCTGGGGCTGGTGGCACTTTGCTGTCCCTCAGCCTGGGGCTGGTGGCACTTTGCTGTCCCTGCAGGGCCCTCAGCCTGGGGCTGGTGGCACTTTGCTGTCCCCAAGCCTGGGGCTGGTGGCACTTTGCTGTCCCCAAGCCTGGGGCTGGTGGCACTTTGCTGTCCCCCCTGTGCAGAGCTCATCCCTCACGGATAAAAGGCCAGGACAGGGACACAGAGGACACACACAGGGACACAGGGACATGCTGAGGCACGGGCAGAGCAGGGACAGCACAGCTGGACACTCACCTGGGCTCCGAGGGGAAATCCAGCGCCTCGGGCCTCGGATGGGGAGAGAAGGGGGCAAGCCATAAGCGAGGGGCAGCGAGGAGACCCTGCCTTGCCTTTCCTTTTCCCTCTCCTTCCTTCCATCATTTCCCTTCTTTTCTCCTCTCTTTTCCTTTTTCCTTTTTCCTTTCTCCTTTCCTTTCCTTTCCCCTGAAGGAGGAAAAATCCACTTTTATAAGAAGCACAGCCCAAACTGGCTGGAAAAGCGCTGGGAAAAGGCTGGGAATGGTGACATTCCCTCTGCAAGGCAGCAGGGATTAGCTCAGGGAGGGGACACGGGGACAACTGTGAGCTCACACTGCTGGAGGGCACTGCCCACCTTAGGAGGACACTCAGGATAATCCTGAAATTCCTAAAAATCCCTTTCCAGCCCCTCCCAATGGCGTGGACATGCAGGTGGTGGCTCTGCAGCCCCCCATGCACAGGCACAGCTCTGAGGGCACACGATGAGGTGGGATGGGATGGGGCAGGCAGGGATCCCCCAAATCCCCCCTTCCCACAGCAGGGAAAGCTCTTGCACAGAGCAGGGAATTTTAGGATCCCTTTTAGGGCTCCCTTTCCATGCAGGACAGACCCACAGCCAATCTCAGCTGTCCAGGGATTGGGATTTGTCCCCACCCTCCTGCCCTGACCCTTTTTGTGACCCCTCATCCCCCTGGAGGTGTTCTGGGGGGTTCCCAGTGCCACATCCACACTGGAAAAACCAAGGATCCACTTTCCATCCCCCAGTTTCCATCTCCCACACCTGTGGCTGCTGCTGGAGCAGAAAACCACAGGGATTTTCCTTCCCTGTGCTCAACCTTATTAAAATCATGCTTAAAAATTCCCTTGAGGCATGCTGGGGGACAGCAGCTGGCCGTGGCAGGGTGGGGACAGCAGCTGGATGGCACACAGCTGGAGCAGCTGCTGGCAGCACCCGAGCCCTCCTCCCCAGGGAATGGGAAGAGTTTTCCACCCAAGACCCCGGGAGAGGCCCCGGATTCCTCCCCCAGCCCTGCCCTGAGCTGCCCCGGGGTTCGGGGTGGCGATGGGGACGGGGGGAGGGCGGCAGGGCCGTACTTACGCTGGGATCTCATTGCTCAGGTGGCTTGGAAACAGAGAAACAGCGACATTGAGAAGGGACAGACACACCCAGAGGGACAGACAGACACCCACGGAGGGACAGAGACACCCAGGGAGGGACAGACAGACACCCAGGGAGGGACAGACAGACACCCAGAGAGGGACAGACACACCCAGAGGGACAGACAGACACCCACGGAGGGACAGACAGACACCCAGGGAGGGACAGACAGACACCCAGGGAGGGACAGACAGCACCTCCACACGGACACCCTCCCCAGCAGGGCTGGGACACCGGGAATGGGAGAGGCAGGAGGACACAGGAGTCTCCTGAAGGAGGAATTTCCAGCCTGGAGGAGCTCAGGGGGAGCTCTGCTCATTCCCAGAGGGAATTCCCAAGCGCAAGGAGGAATTTCCAGCTCAGGGAGAATTCCCAGAGAGAATTCCCAAGCGCAAGGAGGAATTTCCAGCTCAGGGAGAATTCCCAGAGAGAATTCCCAAGCGCAAGGAGGAATTTCCAGCTCAGGGAGAATTCCCAGAGAGAATTCCCAAGGACAAGGAGGAATTTCCAGCCCAGGGATCATTCCCAGAGAGAATTCCCAAGGACAAGGAGGAATTTCCAGCTCAGGGAGAATTCCCAGAGGGAATTCCCAAGGACAAGGAGGAATTTCCAGCTCAGGGAGAATTCCCAAGGACAAGGAGGAATTTCCAGCCTGGAGCAGCTCTGCTCATTCCCAGAGGGAATTCCCAAGGAGCACACACCCACGGACACCCCAGGCTCCTCCCCAGCACGGGCTTGGGAACAGTCCCACACGTCCCATCCCTGAGGGACACTCGGGATCCCCCACCCCATTCCCAGCCCCACAGCCAGGCCTGGAGCTGGGAATTTGGGGCAAAGCCCGGGAGAACGAGGGTCAGGCAGCCCCGTTGGGATCTCCTGGCCCCAGCTCCCCCGGGGGGGTCAGGTACCTCTTGGTGACAGCGTTGTGGTACTCCAGGTACGTGTGGCCATCGAAGGCCACGGCCTCGGCGTCCCCCGCCGCCTTCTCGATGATCACTGAGGGCAAAGGGGAGGTGGCAAAGGAACAGAATTCCCTCGGGGCCGGGAATTCCTGGGAGGTGGGGAACCCCCCCAGCCCTGCCAGCACAGGGACACGGCTGTGTCCCCAGGGAGGGTCACCCCGGGGCTCTGAGGGGCTGGGTGGGTACGGGTGGGGTTCAGGGTCCCTCCCCAGCCAATGCCTCCCGTGGCTCCCAGCTGAGATCTCCAAGGGTTCTCCTGTCCCAGAACTTCCTGACTGGTGCTGGATGTGCTGAACTTCTGCTGGAGATCTTCCATCCAGCCTCCCGTGGGCACCCCCAACCCCCTGGGCCACCTCCACCTTCCCTGGGCCACCTCCAGCCTCCCATGGCCACCTCCAGGCTCCCATGGCCACTTCCAACCTCCCATGGCCACCACCAGCCCCCTGGGCCACCTCCAGCTCCCTATGGCCACCTCCAACCCCTGGGCCACCTGCAGACCCCTGTGCCACCTCCACATTCCCTGTGCCAGCTCCAACCTCGTGGGCCACCCCCAGCCCCCCATGGCCACCTCCAACCCCCTGTGCCACCCCCAGCCCCCTGTGCCACCCCCTGCCCTCCCATGACCACCCCCAGCCCCCCTGGCACCCCCAGCCCCCATGGCACCCCCATGACCACCTCCTGCCCTCCCTTGGCACCCCCCTGGCACCCCCAGCCCCCCTGGCACCCACCCTTCTCGCAGTGCTCCCCCGAGAAGCCCCTGTGGCAGGAGCAGTGGTAGCCCCCCAGGCTGGGGCTGCAGGAGCCCCCGTGCTGGCACGGGTTGGGCTTCTGGGTGCAGGGGTGCCCCCGGAACGGGGACACCTCCCTGGCACTGCGGATGTTCTGCTCCTTCAGCACGGGCACGCCCTCCAGGGAGATCTGCGGGGGCACCAAGGGCTCAGCCAGGAGCTGCCTGGCAGGGAATTCCCAAAAAAATGGGGAATTCTCATCCCAGGCCGGGCTGGGATGGTGAAGGTGCCCCTGCCCATGGCACGGGGGGAGCTGGAAGGTTCCTCCACCCCAAACCAGGCTGGGATGCTCTGATGGTCCTTCCCACCCAGCTCTGGTCATGTGGGGACACCAGGCAGTGTCCGTGGGGACAAGAGGAGGTGGGAACCCATCCCTAAGGTGGGAACCCATCCCTTAAATGGGAACCCATCCCTGAGGTGGGAACCCATCCCTTAAATGGGAACCCATCCCTTAAATGGGAACCCACCCCTTAAATGGGAACCCATCCCTAATGTGGGAACCCATCCCTTAAATGGGAACCCATCCCTTAAATGGGAACCCATCCCTAATGTGGGAACCCATCCCTGAGGTGGGAACCCATCCCTTATATGGGAACCCATCCCTTATATGGGAACCCATCCCTTAAATGGGAATCCATCCCTTAAATGGGAACCCACCCCTTAAATGGGAACCCATCCCTAATGTGGGAACCCATCCTTAATGTGGGAACCCGTCCCTGAGGTGGGAACCCGTCCCTGATGTGGGAACCCATCCCTTAAATGGGAACCCATCCTTAATGTGGGAACCCACCCCTTAAATGGGAACCCATCCATTAAATGGGAACCCATCCCTAATGTGGGAACCCATCCCTGAGGTGGGAACCCATCCCTTATATGGGAACCCATCCCTTATATGGGAACCCATCCCTTAAATGGGAATCCATCCCTTAAATGGGAACCCATCCCTGAGGTGATGGGAATCCATCCCAGAGAGGATGGGAACCCATCCTTAATGTGGGAACTCATCCCTGACATGATGGGAACCCATCCCTAGGGTGGGAATCCATCCCTGAGGTGAGAATCCATCCTGAAGATGGCCTTAAATGGGAACCCATCCTTAATGTGGGAACCCACCCCTTAAATGGGAACCCATCCATTAAATGGGAACCCATCCCTGAGATGGGGAATCCATCCCTATGGTGGGAATCCATCCCGAAGATGATGGGAATCCATTCCAAGTGTCCCCAAATTCCCTTCTGTCCCCCTTTTCCACCACCAGGACAACTCCCAGGTCCATCCCAGGACAGGGGGGACACTGGGCTGTCCCAGTGGACACTGAACTGTCCCAATGGACACGGGGCTGTCCCAATGGACACTGGGCTGTCCCAGCAGGACACTGGGCTGTCTCAATGGACACGGGGCTGACCAGCAGGACCTCACCCTCTGCACAGCTCCGTGGAAGCCGCTGGAGATGGCAGCTGCTCGAGCCAGCTTGGAGAAGTCGGGGGCTCCCCCCACGTAGAAGGGCTCCTTGAGGTTCAGCACCATGTGGGGCACCTGGGGGACAGCAAGGACAAGGTGTCAGCTCCTCCTGGCTGTCCCTGCATGGCCCTTGATGACCCTCATGGCTCTCTCCATGTGGGAGATTTGATGATGGTCATTTATTTGATGATAATTTATTTGATGGTCATTTATTTGATGGTCATTTATTTGATGATAATTTATTTTATGATAATTTATTTGATGATGTTTTCTATTTTATTTCATTTATTTGATGGTCATTTATTTGATGGTCATTTATTTGATGGTCATTTATTTGATGGTCATTTATTTGATGATAATTTATTTGATGATAATTTATTTGATGACGTTTTCTATTTTATTTTATTTCTGACTCTACAGATGGAGCCTCCAGGGAACCTCCTCATGCCAAGGACTGCCAGCTCCCACCCCCAGCAGGCACCTGGGGAAGGTTTCCCCTGGGTTGAATTTTGGGGAGAGGCTCTTCCCACAGCCTCAGGCCTGGAGGGGGGCTCTGCTTTCGTGTGCCCCCCAAAACTGGGGTCCCCAGACATTGCAGGGCTGCTGCTCAATCCCAGCCCGTCCCAGAGGATCCACCTGGCTGCCCCAGCTTTGAGGAGCAGGTTCAGGTTTTCTCCTGCACCCCATGGCTTGAGGAGGTTCTCCTGCACCCCACGTGGTGGTTGTGGAGGAGAAAATTCCCTCCTTGCTGTCACCAGCCCCAGGATTGGTGGGAATTCTCTGGGATGGAGGCAGGGCCACAGCAAGGACGGCGTGACATGGAGCACTAACTGATGCTTTGTGGGATTAACACAAAATAAATGACCAGATTAATTGAAATGGTCCCAAAACGAAAGGTGACGACTGGCTGGGAATGAAGCACGGGAGGGGGAATGAGGGGCTCTAAACTACAGGGATCCTAAAGCAGATGGGGAAGATGAAAAACCACAAAAATAGGAAGGAAAAAAGGAGATGAGATGGAGGCGTGGGGGGGTCATACTTATCTGTACCTTACGGGATTTCTGGGATCCAGACAGCAGGGGAGGGGAAAACACAAAGGAAAATCAAAGGGAGAGAGAGAGAAAAAAAAAACAAACAAAAAAAAGAGAGAAAAGGGACATCAGTGGGGTGCCATTGCAACAGGCAGGGCTGCCACAGCCCCGCTGCCACCAGGGCTGGGTGGCAGGGGGTGGCACGGGGTGGCAGGAGGGTCTCTGCCACCCAGGAGCTGCTTTGCCCGGAGAGGAGCCTGCAAAGAGGAGAGCGAGGGGAGGAAATGCCTGGGGGGGTTCTGTGGGGTGAGGGGTGAGCTCAGCAGGGCTGGAAAAGGGGGAAAAGGGAGGGAAGGGACCCCAGGAATGCAGGGAGGGGCTGGAACTGCAAAATTCCCAGCAGGGAGAAGAGCAGGGCAAGCGCCAGGGGATGCAGCAGCAGCAGGGCTGGGGATTTCCTGCTCCCTGAGCTCCTCTGCCTGCTGGGAGGCTCTTAATTAATGATTAATTAGTGACCCAGGGGAGCCTCAGGTAGCTGTGCCAACACAGGACAGGTGGGGACCTGCAGTAAGGGATGGGGGGTCCAGGAGAGGGTGGGGGACTCATCCAAGGCAGCCCTGAAACCTGGCTGGGATCCTGGGCAGGGACAGGGATGCTGCCCTGCCTCTGCACCCTCAAACCACCACCCAAAACACAGGAACCCCAGAAACTCCACTCAAACCATGACCCAAAACACAGGAACCTGAGAATTCCACTCAAACCACCACCCAAAACCCAGGAACCCCAGAAATTCCACTCAAACCATGACCCAAAACACAGGAACCCCAGAAATTCCACTCAAACCATGACCCAAAACCCAGCAACCCCAGAAATTCCACTCAAACCACCACCCAAAACACAGGAACCTGAGAATTCCACTCAAACCCATGATCTAAAACCTAGGAACCTGAGAAATTCCACTTAAATCCACAGGTTAAAGCCCAGGAACCCCAGAAATTCCACTCAAATCCACAGGTTAAAGCCCAGGAACTTGAGAATTCCACTCTTCCACCCTCAAATGCAGAATTTAAAGGCCAAGAACCTGAGAAATTTCACCTCTCCACCTTCAAATCCACGATTTGAAGCTGAGGAACCCGAGCCACGATTTAAAGCCCAGGAGCCTGAGAAACTCCACTCAAATCCAGAATTTAAAGCCCAGGAACCCCAGAAATTCCACTAAACCCACAATTTAAATCCCAGGAACTCGAGAAACTCCACTCAGATCCACAATTTAAAGCCCAGGAACCTGAAATATTCCCCTCAAATCCACAATTTAAATCCCAGGACCCTGAAAAACTCCCCTCAAATCCTGGATTTAAGTCCCAGGAGCCTGATAAATCCCCTCCAATCCCGGATTTCAGCCCCAGGAGCCTGAGAAACTCCCCTCCAATCCCGGATTTAAGTCCCAGGAATTTCAGAAATCCCCTCCAATCCCGGATTTCAGTCCCAGGAATTTCAGAAATCCCCTCCCATCCCAGATTTCAGTCCCAGGAGCCTGATAAATCCCCTCCCATCCCGGATTTCAGCCCCAGGAGCCTGAGAAACTCCCTCCAATCCCGGCTTTCAGTCCCAGGAATTTCAGAAATCCCCTCCCATCCCGGATTTAAATTCCAGGAATTTCAGAAATCCCCTCCCATCCCGGATTTAAATTCCAGGAATTTCAGAAATCCCCTCCCATCCCGGATTTAAATTCCAGGAATTTCAGAAATCCCCTCCCATCCCGGATTTAAATTCCAGGAATTTCAGAAATCCCCTCCCATCCCGGATTTAAATTCCAGGAATTTCAGAAATCCCCTCCCATCCCGGATTTAAATTCCAGGAATTTCAGAAATCCCCTCCCATCCCGGATTTAAATTCCAGGAATTTCAGAAATCCCCTCCCATCCCGGATTTAAATTCCAGGAATTTCAGAAATCCCCTCCCATCCCGGATTTAAATTCCAGGAATTTCAGAAATCCCCTCCCATCCCGGATTTAAATTCCAGGAATTTCAGAAATCCCCTCCCATCCCGGATTTAAATTCCAGGAATTTCAGAAATCCCCTCCCATCCCGGATTTAAATTCCAGGAATTTCAGAAATCCCCTCCCATCCCGGATTTAAATTCCAGGAATTTCAGAAATCCCCTCCCATCCCGGATTTCAGTCCCAGGAGCCCCAAGCCCCCGTGCTGGGCCGGGGTCACTCACCGGGGACTCCCCGGTCACCCCGGGGCCGTTGTTGACCCTCAGGACGCCCTTGCGGCCGCTCCGCTCCAGCAGGACACTGACCCACGTGTCCAGGGGCACCGGCTCCCTGCTCCTGGGGAAAAAGGGAAAAAAGGGTTAAAAAAGGGTTAAAAAGGGGGAAAAAAGGGTTAAAAAAGGGAAAAAAAAGGGAAAAAAAGGTTAAAAAGGGCTAAAAAAGGTGGAGAGGTCATCGAAGGGGGACGCTGAGGTGCTGGAGGTCTCAGCCGGAGATCCGTGGCAAAGGAAGAGAAATTTCTGTTGGGTCGTGGGATTGTCACCAAGGGGACTTCACACCAGCTGGGCCAGTCCTGGGCATCTGGGACAGTGCCAGCAGTGCCAGCAGAGTGCCAGCAGTGCCCTCAGCTGAGCAGGACCAGAGTGCCACCAGTACCTCTCAACTCAGCAGGGTCAGAGTGCCACCAGTACCCTCAGCTGGGCACGGAGAGTGCCAGCAGTGCCCAAAGTGCCCTCACCTGGGCAGGGTCAGAGTGCCAGCAGTGTCACAGTGCCAGCAGTGGCAGTGTCTCACCTGAGCAGGGCGGGCCCCTTGCCCAGGTGCAGTGCCTGCGGTGCCAGCAGTGCCAGCAGTGTCACAGTGCCAGCGGTGCCAGCGGTGCCAGCAGTGCCAGCAGTGGCAGTGTCTCTCTCACCTGAGCAGGGCGGGCCCCTTGCCCAGGTCGTAGCGGAACTCCAGGTGCCCGCGGTGCAGTGCCAGCGACACGAAGTCCCCTCTGCCGTCGCTCCTCTGCCCGTTGTAGAAGATCATCCCGCTGGGCTGCCGGGCCAGGAACACCACCTCCATGGACAGCTTGTCCCTGCCACGGGATTGAGTATTGATTAGGGTTATTGATTATTGATTAGTTATTGGTTATTGATCATGGGTTATTGATCATTGATTGGAGCTATTGGTTATTGATTGGGGCTATTGGTTAGGTGTTATTGATAATGGGTTATTGATTATTGATTGGGATTATTGGTTATTGATCATGGGTTATTGATTATTGATTGAGGTTACTGGTTATTGATTGGGGCTATTGGTTATTGATTGGGGTTATTGGTTATGGGTTATGGCTTGTGAAGTGTGGGTTATGGGTTATTGATTATTGATTAGGGTTATTGATTATGGATTGTGGGTTATAGATAGTGGGTTATTGATTATGGACAGTGGGTTATTGATTATGGATTCCAGGTTATGTCTCCCCTCCCGTCCAGCCGCCCCCGGGATAACCCCGATGCCATGGGCGTGCCAGCCCTGCCAGCAGTGCCAGCCGGGCCCCCGAGGCCGCCCGGGGCTGGGGGCACCCCCCTGCCGGCCCACCTCGCTCGCACAGGGTCCCCTCGCGGCCCACGGGGCACGCGCACAGCGCCCCCCCGGCGGGCAGCACCAGGCACGTGGCAGAGGGGTGGCACGGCGACGGCTCGCACGGGTTCCTCTCCAAGGCACACGTGGGGCCTGCGGGCACGTGCCAGCAGTGCCAGCCGGGGGTGCCCGGGTGCAGGGCGGGTCTGTCCGTCTGTCCCTGCACTCACTGCAGGTCGGGCACGAAGCTCTGCAGCCCGTTGAGCTCCAGGTAGGAGAAGCCGTTGAACTCGGGCAGGAAGGGCACGGACTGGTCCTGCTCTGTCACTGGGCACAAAGCGGGCGGCGTGAGGGGCGCACCTCGCTCGCACAGGGTCCCCTCGCGGCCCACGGGGCACGCGCACAGCGCCCCCCCGGCGGGCAGCACCAGGCACGTGGCAGAGGGGTGGCACGGCGACGGCTCGCACGGGTTCCTCTCCAAGGCACACGTGGGGCCTGCGGGCACGGAAAGCTTGGCACCGACCCCCAGGGACATGGCACCAGGGTCCCCCATGGCCCCAGTGTCACCCTGGGCATGTAGGCATCAAGGCACTGGCACAAAAACTCCCTCAGAACGCCCCAGAGGGGTGAGAACCCCTTGGTGCCAACCCCATACCCCAAAAACCCCCTTGGTGCCCATTCCGTAGCCAAAATCCCCCTCAGAACCCCACAATGCCCACCCTGTACCCCAAAACCCCTCAGACCCCCTTGGTGCCCACCCTGTACCCCAAAACCCCCCTCAGAACCCCACAATGCCCACCCCATTTCCAAAAACCCCCTCGGTGCCCACCCCAAACCCCCCTCAGCCCCCCTTGGTGCCCACCCTGCATCCCAAAACCCCCTTTGGTGCCCCCCCCATAC